TGCTGACCAGGCTTGGATTCTACATGTGTAGAGCACCAGACTCACGTAGAAGCCGTGTTGGACTCTCACTAGTGCGAAAGGAGTTCCAGAAGTCTTGGGGTTTTATACCGGTCCAACACAGAAATTTTGGATCGTGGGAAAGGGCAAAAAGAGGATGTGAGGTTGTTGATCCTGTGTGAATAAGAAAAGTCCCTCCACCATACAAGAGCAATTTCTAGTTTAAAGATTTTTCATTTTTGAAAATGCAACAACGGGGGACTTTGGGAATGGTTTGTTTTCCCTCTAAACAAAATCTGAGAGTCGGGGGGGGGGGGGTGGGGGGGGGTGGGGGGGTGGGAACTTCCAGTAATCTTGTCTAATGTGACAAGTTTGTTTGTAAAAAAAATTAATTGCTCACCACAAAGGTTGAAGGTTCAAATCCAAGAGTAAAACTGAAGAGGATACTTTTGAAAATAAAGTAGTATGCACACAATAATCAATGTTTTAACAGACACAAATAATATAAATGTTTGTACTTACAAACTGTTGATTGAAGATGAAGACAGGCACATTAAATAAAGTCACCAGATGAGAATGTTGATTCAGCACCAAGCAGCAGCAATAACATGGGATCACAAAACAAAAATAAAAATGGTTCTTGATTTTTGTTTCCAGCATTTGTGCAAACCACATAAAATTCCCCTTTGGAACGCATCGTGGACAAGACAACTGCAAAAAAAGTTTCAGCTGTTTTAAAGTAAATTGATTTTAACACCATAATGGTCATATCAGTGGTTGAGTTTGAGACTCAAATGCCATGATAGAAAAATAAAGTATTGACTCTTAAGTTCAATTCACTTTTCTATTATCATATAAGAAAACATGACAAAATGGGAATTGAAACCACAATCCCCGATATATGGAAATGGTGCGTTTCTCTCAAATCTGTAATAGTTAGGCATATTCAGAGAGGACACTTACCCCCTGTAAGACGACGGTCAGTTGTGGACGGCAGATGTTGATACCGGTACATATCACAAGCAGGGATCACCCAGTCAATGTTTAGATGAGATGGAATTCAAGACAAAGGATGGTGAACAAAAACCAAGGAGAAATGACAGAAGACAGCGACAGAGAAAGTATGAGGGGAAAAAAGAACATTTGATTTTATTAAATGAATATACTTTGGAAAAAAATTAGTACTGCAACTACATGCAAGAAGCCAAGCCTGAAATGGCTAATGTGTGGTACCGGTATGGCTGTGGATGTTTACTGTAGCATGTCAATGACAAAAACAATTTAAGCCTTAGCCACAAAAAAGCAATTTTAGACATGGCCTTAGTGACTGCAGACTCAGATATTTGTTGTTCTGTGCTGGCCTACTTTGTTGGGTTTTTTTACAGCATTTCATTGTGTCGGCAGTATCCAACCTATGAGAACACATGTCAAATACATGCACATGTGTTAAACAAAATTATTCAAATACAATTGTAATTTTGCCTGTGTTCTACACTGTGTACTTTCATGTTTACATTTTGCTCACATTTTTTTTGGGGGGGGGGGTGTTAAGACTTCCAATAGAAAGTGCTAGTGACCTTTCCCGACGAGATAACAAAAACTGCAGCAATGTGTACTTTTCAAAAGCCAAATACATGCACTACACTCCAAATATATGTCGTCCATTGTCAGCTGGCAATAAAAGAGAGAAGTCGTGTTGCGATCAGCAGATGGAGGGGTTCCCACGCACCCTGGTATACGGGGCCAGGGGAAGGAAAAGTACATGTACAACAAACTGCTGGACAAGCAGAAAAACGTGTTTACAAGCGCTAATACAGTCTGGGAGTTAAGAGTGTGGACAGCACGATCGGTCCATGAGTAGAGATACTGAAGAGTTGTTTGCAATATTTCCGAGCCTTTGTACACCCTTTTCCTTCAACATGCCCTCCCCTACCGACATGTTCCTATTTGCTGTATTGTTCTTGGGAATGGGACTAAACCTAGATGACTGAATACTAATGTGGTGCTTATAATGCTTGGTGTCAAAGTCTCAAAGCACTTCACAATTATTTCCCCCATTCATCAGGCTCCAGATCTGTTCAATCTAGTCTCTACCCTTGCAGGTACTGGGGGTACATGTACCCATTTATACTCCTGGGTGGACAGAGGCAATTTGTAGTAAAGTGTTGCACTTTTGTTTTTCTGTCCAAACTAGTTTGCTCTGCTGCTAAAACGGCATGAGTAGACATTGCGTCTTTTTCAACCCCTCTCCATCCCCACCCCCAATCCAGCTTCGCAACCAACGAACCCACTCCAGATCTCTTGGAGATTCCGAGGTTTTCCAGTCTATCATAGAGAAATGGTCTATGATAGTGAAACTCTTGATATGATTATTAAATGAAGCATGGCTGATGAGTGAGTTTTCATATCATTGGAGCATAAGTGAAAACACAGCATGAGAAAGCACCTCAATGACTTATTGTGGATGCTGTGCCGCAAGATTTGCCACAAAAAATCCACTGTGAGTGCAAGTCATGAATTAATGATCAAAGCAGCGCTCAGAGTACCTTTTTTTTCCATCCAATTATTACTGCCCTATATAGTCAAGTCTCTATTTGTACATGATAGCACTGCTGAGTACCATGTACGATGATCCAGAGGATCTGCATAATGAAAGTTCTTGGAATTCTTTGGAGGATTTGGAAAATAAGGGGAAGTTGTAGGGGGAAAAAATCTCATTCACACCAAACAAAAACAATTATTTGGAGAGTTGATGAGTGGAGGGTGTATCAGGGTGGGGAAGGGCGGGACAGTGGTGCTTGGATAAAATTGGGGGGGGGGGAGTCCCCTTTTTTTCATAATGCACTAAATTTGGTATCCTAAAGCCATGACTTACTAGCTGCAGTAGTCATGGTAGTGGAATTCGGGGGGGGGGGGGGGGACAAATAGGTAATTTTTTCTGAACAACTAAAAGTGGCCTCAAGTTTTTAGAAGTGGGGCGGTGGGGGTATTATGTACCACTATACCAGTTTGATGGATGATGATGATGGTAATATAATTTCCTTACAAAAAACATACAAGTGAATAAAAAACAACCTTAAATAATTAATTGCTAAATGGGCCGCACACCTCCCAACCTCCCCAGATGAATATACCACTCACTGGCTAAAAGTGAAACTTCCGTGGCTTGAAAGGGTTAACGACAGAGACAGAGTATGGGTGAAACCACAAGACTTTTTTTAAACGATCGCTTCTAGTTCAACAGTTTATGAAATGCCTCAGGGCATCCTGAATTTGTCGGACAGTTATGGCTTCAGATAAGCCGTCAAAGTTTCCGGAAAACGTGCCAAGAAAGAAGATCGGTTTCCTTAGTACAAGATGGATACCACTCCTGGGAAAAGGAAGCTAATCATTTTTTTTCGCAGCTCTGACGCCCAAGGAAAACACTTGAAATTGAAGCAAAAATAAGGAAACTCGAGGTCTGTACATTGTGAAAACAAGGCTTTAATGACACTTTTCCTTCCTACGTGATCACACCTACATGTGGGTCAGGTTTGCTAGAATTTCCCTTTCGTTTAGGGTGATTTTGTGGGCCCATTTCATCGTCGTGTTTTTGACAGAATTCTGAGGGGCGTAACAGACGGGACAATGTACTCTGCAGACCTATTTTCAGCTTCTTGTTCATCAGAGGTATGGCGTACAATTTACAGGGATGATGCAGTTTGTTTTGCATCAATTGGTCAAAGTTTTCTGAATGGACATGCACCCCTCAACCCCTCCTCGAGGAAACAACCGGGCCAAATGCTTACCATGAGCAAAGAACAGCGTATTTTACAAATTTAGCAAGGAACCTTGTCTTGTGTGAATGAATAAAATCCTGCAACTCAGGATTCTGTGCGTGGATGGTTAAAGGCATAATGTCTACACTTGCACCATAAGCACAAAATATTTGAATCTGTTGGGTGCAATCGGTGGATTTGGAATATCATTCGATCAACCGATGGCAGTGTGATCGACAGAGCGGCCAAAAATGCAGCACAATTGACCGATAGCAAAGCAAGATCAGTGATCACTGATCGCGACCAAGCAAATCAAAGTACAGAATTCTGAGGTATGCAGAGCTGAGAATGTGGTCACAAAACAACAACATTCTCGTCTGTTCACATGAACATGTATGTCTGTCAATCAAGTTTAAAAATGACCGACAGATGAATTTTTTAAGGAAAAGGGTTGGGGGGAGGGGCTAACGTTATCAAAAGAATCAAGTTTTGGGAAACTGCAGGGGTCCAGGTTCAAGAGAAGGGGTCAGGAATGCCCAAATTGTTTCCTGGAATTTGGGGGGGGGGACCCCAGAATCCCTCACCTTTTGAACCCTATCTGTTTCCTTGCTCTACGCCCCAACAAACCCCATGTGCAAAGGGCATTCTAAACTGTGCCTTCAAAACAATGTGGTTGAATTTTGATCCTAGAAAAACATATATTCTTTGGATTGTTGACTGACCAATTCTGATATGGAAGGAAATCAATCAAAATTTGACCACTGCTACATTTGTCACAAGTCAAACCACAAGTCAAACCATAAAGGAATGTCTTTATCGTGGTTTATTAAAATATCTTGTGATTTTTATCTGGAAAAAAAAAAAATTCCGATAATTTTCTAGCAATGACTGGTTTTTGACAGGAAGTTGATAACATCTTTTAGTCCAGGGAGATGAAATCTAAACATGTGAAAATGTGTAGAAAAAAATTCTTGAGAGAGTTTATCTCCGGTTTCCTTGGCATGAACCAACTGAGAATATTTCTATTTCCCCTGGATGGGATGCCAGTCCATCACAACTCCCCAGCTAATGCTGGTACCCATTTATACTCCTGGGTGGAGAGAGGCAAGTGGGGGTGAAGTGGCTTGCCCAAGGACACAACATATGGCTAGCGGCTGGATTCGAACCCCTGACCCTCTGATCATGAGTCACGAACCCTAACCACTAGGCCACACTCTTGTTAACTGTAAATGTACATAAAAACAGTTATGACAAAACATCACCTACCGTGACAAAATCCTGTTCCATGATGAATGTTGTTGATGTTAGAAGAACAAGCGTAGAAACAAGCAGCATCCATCAAAGATTCATGAATAGGAAAGAACAAAGAAAGAGAAACATTTGTTCAATAAACATACTAAAATGTTGTGCCTATTGATGTCAACACATGAATATTTCACTGGAAATTAGGTTATTTGTTTTGTTTTTAACACAAGATTTGTATAGATGTACATCAAAGGTAGGGGCTGTCTCTGTTATTTGTATTGAGTTCTGTATGGAGTTGCAGTTCATCTTTTTTTCATTGGTAAGAGTAGGAGTAGGTATACGTCAAAGATAACATTGCTGGGGGAAACCCACAAACTATAAAATAAAACAAAGCATCGGAACACGCGATCATGCACATGATGTGCATTACGTTTCTTGTGGAGCATTAAAATACACCCTTTTATCTTTTGACTTATAGACTTATTCAAAAAAAAGTCAGGACAAAAGGAGCCATTAAGAGGAACCTTGTTCGTGCCTATATCGCACGCATTCTTAAAGTGGAAGCGAGCACACATTGTCACTTTCCATGCAGTCACTTCCACGCAGCTTCTGTGTAGATTACAAGCTCTGATTTCTTGATATGAGCTTTCAAAGAACATGACATCCTTAATAGGCGCATGACATCCTTATTAGGCGCATGCAAAATTTTAGATCGGTGTCACATTCAATATAGTATACGCTGTTTAGGCAGAGGCATGAAAAACTTGACCGACGCTTTCGAGTATTCGAATATTAGTTCGACTCCAAGTTTGAATAATCAAATACCCAACTAGATATATGGCATTTGTTTTTTAGACAAACGCAGGGTGATGGGCAAGGAACCATTTTATTTGACATTTTGTAGCTCAGTTGTAAAAATATTTATAAATGCAAAAACAGGGCAAGTTGAAGTTCATGCCAAGTTTGAAGTTTGAAGATCATGCATTGTCCCATTAAAAGAAAACCGAGGAGAATTATTGTCAAGAAGAAAAACACACAAGAACAAAGAGCAAAGACAATACAAAAGCGTGAAGGGGGTTGAGCCTCATCACCCAATTATTCAACAATACACACCACTAAAATAGACATACAACTGTACATGTACATTGTACAATTTACAATGTATTGCCCACGAGAAAGCTGTTAAAACACCCCGCCCTTGTGCTATTTCAGGTTTATGACATGACCAGGCACTGCATCAAATCAAACCAATTTTTCCATTTCCTGTCCCAAGCTGACATGAGCATGCAGGGAGCATGCACAAAAATATGAATGATAGACTGTCAATTGTAAACCCCCAAGGGAGTTCCAAAAAGAATATTCCCCAGTTTCCAAATGTCTGGCAACGGACAGACAGAGTCCCCCCCCCCCCAAGTTTGGTGGGCTACAGAGCTACCCTGAAGGGGTAGGGGGTTAGTGTAATGGGTAGATGTTCCTTTTTTTACACAACATACCGGTACTGGGTTGCTTAGTAATAATTGTGATTTATGATTTTGATATGAATGGTGACGGATTTGGCCACTTACGAGAGGGGCCTGCATATTTTAAAAACTGCTGGAGGTTATGAGTTGAGTCCCGGCAACCATGATTGGTCCTGGCATACCTGACCTCCTTCATTTCCCCGCCAATTTTTTATTTTTATTTTTAAAGATGAAAAAATTAATCTTTTTTTTTTTAGATGATGGTGTGCAGAGCCCCTTCTGTCAAAAAAGGCACGAGCTAGGAATCCAAAAATGATTTAATACTTTGGGAACCAAAATAATAGCTTAAGTATTTAGGGTGATAAGTCTGGGAGGTTCACAAAATTAGAGTCAAGGGGACGGCTGAAGGTGACACAAAGCAGGGGTATGGGTGGGGTCCACCTATCCAACCAGATCAATGTGCCAATGATTAAACTTGTCCTGAGATTAGGATTTTCATCGCCTTGATTCAATAACGTTGGGTTCAGTGCCCAAATGGACTCTAAGCATGGCCAGTATACATGGCTATTAGTGAGAGACACACTGCGTGTGTACTGGCAGACAGGACTAATTTAACACTGAATGTGCACAATCCCTTCGCATCTTGCCATGAGCGTCAGGCATCATCAGCAATCAGTATGAAAACATGTCCCTTCCTTGTAGCCTCCGCCAGCCAAACTCTTCTTTTGTAACCATTGCTCATCAAGGGGATACTCGTGTACTCAAGTCCATGTCCCTGAAATGGCTTTTTGTCATAAAGATCCTGGAATGAGCTCATCTGGACTGTATGTGAATCCTGATAACTGGTACAAGAGAAGGGGTAGCATATTGGAAAACTCAGGTCCAGGGTCGTCTTCTTCTTCTTCTTTCGTTTGAGGCAGCAGAAAGTCAAGCTATTCCGTCCAGTTGTCTAAGCCATGTTCTTGTTTGTTCACTGACAGGGTGACAGGTCCAGGGTCATCAGTGATAAGTTACATGTAAGATTTATCTACATGGTGAGTATTTCAAGCACTAATCAGGCTATTTTTGTTAAAATTTTAACCTCCAATTATTTTTTTAAAAATATTCCCAGAAACACATTAATTTTTTTCTCTATTTCTTTTCAATGCAATCAACAGGATGAACACACTCAGTCATCTTGCCATGAAGGCAAAAAAACACATTTTCCTTTCACAGTCAAGCTCCATACACAGAAAGTACACAGAGACTCGGTCTGTTGCACGTTGCCTAGCGTCACGTTTCTCTCCGCACGCACACGAGGACCGCGAGCTTGTTTGTTTCGGGGGAGAAACACCCAGCAAAACACATGTCCGAACAACACAATCGGTCGGTGCCCGTATCAACAACTTGATTGACATGCAATCGGCGGGGTACCGATAAGCCCTGCAACCCCGATAAGGGATAATTAATAATCTTTTGATAACGCCAAAATGTCACATCCGAGATAAGACGTTGATAGCGCACACTTGAAACTCTCGGGACCCAATAATCGTCTTTTTTTATCAGTTACATACATCCGTATACATGTGCTTCTATTTTGTCCAATTCTATACATAAAAGATTGTCGTGAATGGGTTGGACAAATATTGTGGTAATGAAAGTGTGCTGACTCTGTCCCAGCAGGAGTAAAACATTGACGATGAATAATTATTCTGGTTTGAGCGTGAGCATGTGTTTGGCAAAGTGCACATCGACCTCCCGACTTTTCATTGTGAACATTTCAAATGAGTGATTGAATAAAAGAAAGATATACAAAGAGAAGTGCCTGTTCTCATTTCAAATAAGGCTTTCTCCAAGAAAAATTCACTCATTTGTAAATTAACAAATTATTGGACCATATAAAAATGGTAATATTCTAGAAATAGTCTCTGTTTTCCATACTCCTCGGGTTTAGTGTTTTGAAGAAAAAAACAGATACCAGATTAATGACGGGAGAAAACGAAGGTTTCAAAATCCAGTTGTCCTTTGTTTTCAAACCCAATAACGGTTATCTGATTTCACCGGAAGTTCCTATTCAGCTCACAGTCATGCCAACAAAACATGACGAGTGAGGTGCCGCATGCTCTACCTTACACAATAATTGGCTATAGTCGAGTTAGTGACATTCATTGACCACTTGCCTTTACAAAAAACACAAAGGTTGTAACGGTTAAAAAAATGGATGGGAACTCGCCGATCAGTTGAATTGAGCAGGCTATCCATGAACCAAGACCATTAGCAAGTGAATGTGGTCACAATCTGAGACCATGGAGCAATTTGGGGGGGGGGGTGTTCCAGTTGTTTTCTTTAGCTTGTGTCACAAAAAATGGAAGACTTAATTTTTGTTATTGTTGATTTCAAATATCCAGTTTCCAAACTCCAAACCGAATAGTGGAATACAAAATCTCACCACTACACCAGATGATTGCATCTAGGCCTACTTGCTAACATTTAAAATTGCAAAGTAACACTTCCAAAACAAATTTTTTAACAGAAGTACCGGTTTGGCTGCTAGGATAATACGTACAGCTATTAAAATTGTTATCTATATAATGCAGAAAATTGTCGTTAAATATCAACTCATCAAACTTAAAATCCTCACCAAAAAAAAAAAATCAATTTATGTGAGACTTTAGTTTTAAAACATGAGTCATCCTTGGTACTAGAAGTATTCAAGTCATGTAAATCATTATCATATGTGATTTCAGTGGTACCGGTAAGAACTACACTTCCTACAAGTTCTGAAGCTCTGGACCTCTTTCTGCAAAGTACTTTCCCAATTGAGCCTGGTCTTTCATGTCAGACAATGATCAATATAATAAGACCATGTTCATGAATGTATAAAAATACCTTCTGTGTGCCTATTTATGCCATACACCCCTCCCCCAAATTATGTATCACAGGTCGTATTTAGAGCCTCATTTGGCAAATGAACCATCAAAACCAATTACAGAACAAGGGCTCATCCCTAGTCAACAGAATTGTCATTCTGGCAGAAAAAAAATTGTGTCTGTTGGCAAATATGCAGCAACAAAGAGCGTCACCTGTTGTCAGATAGTCCAAGATCATCTGCTTTGAACAGCGGCTCCAATAGTCAGATGATGTCCAGCCCACCCCCCCCCTTGATTTTATCAACTGTCGACTGACCAGTAAACAAATTCCTGGTTACCTACATGTAGTTTCAGGACAAAGGGTTTGACGGCAAATTTGTTGTCAACCGCCCCCCTCCTCCCCCCCCCCCCCTTCAAGTAAGTCTTGCTATGTCCCGGCATAGGTAGGCATATCTTACAAAAGAACTTGCCATGTGTATTGTTTTGTCTCAACTGTACCCTTACTGAAACCTGGCAGCCCACATCAAGCTTAAAGCTTACTACAACATTTCTAAATAGCCTGACTATCCATCACAATAAAAGTCTGCGATTAAATACCCACAACTCCTCTCTGACAATTAGTACAATTCAGGAAACACGGAATTACCCGCAGCCGCCAACAACAACCGCTGACACATGTTTCGCGAGCACTTATCTCCAGTGGTAATTATAAGCCTAACCCGCAACAGTTTTAACATTTTACATTTTTTTTTTTACGACTTCAGTCAAGGCAAGGATGGTCGGGCTTTGTGTCGTCGTTTTTTTTTTTACCGCTAAGCCACGGTTTATATTGATCCTGTTTGCGTTGCAATGAGAGCTCCCCCTATCCATTCCCCCGCGGCGCGCCTTCATTTCCTGTCCCACAAAGGCAGGAAGATCATACATTTTGCGTGACTTGGTCATTAAGTGATTGGGAGAGAGGGAGATGTGATGCTAGATGGTTTATTAGCCCTGTCTGGCTTGGATTTCTCCCCCCCCCCTCCATTTTTTTGTTTTTTCTTACTGCCAACTGAACTACTTTCCCGTGTATTTGGCTAAGGACAATGAAGCAATCTGAGCAGAAGATTTTCTGCCAGCACCATACTACACTGTACCCTCAAGAACTTGCACAGTGTATCTGTAGTTTCTACCCTTGGCAAGACCCGCATGGACATCCCAGCTTTTTCACTTTTCCTAACCAGTGTTCCTCAGGTTTGTCGATTCAGTCCGTCAAGCAACCCGTTGCCTATTAATCTTGACTCACAGACTCGCTTTAAATCAATCACACAGTCAAGAAAAATTCTTTTCTTCCATTTCCCTTGACAGACAAAGCCCATAACGCAATGTATTAATTCTCATGCTTAGGGTGTCAGGTCCTTTTTGGTCCACTGAAAACCACCATCATTACTAATCTGTGATTTTCCTTCTTTTTTAATTCATAAATTTGAATCTTTCTTAGCATTTCAAGACTCACTCCAAATAAAGAAAGACAGGCATTTTCTTTAACATCTTCTTTTTAGCTGCAACTTCGACCAAATGCTCTAGTTTTCAATGTCTAATATCAAACAGAAATGCTTACGGTAAAAAGAAAGACCGAGATTTTTATGAACAGATCGAGTGCCCTTTTTATCAATTCTACTTTCCGCACAGTTCTCATTAACTACGGTAGCAGTCCCTAGCCAACCGTGGGTCAACACTGTCCATTTGCCAAGGCAAACGGGTATACAGGTGCTTCAACCAACAAACCCTACCACCAAGGAGCAAGTGTCGGCAAACATGGCACCCTCAGACTTCAAACAACCACCCTGATTGAATTTCAAGCAAATCCAAAACCCTGGGGTCTGACTACTGGACGGAATGTTCTTATTCTTCAATAATTTTTACCAAGTAATACTGTCCTCAAACTTCACAATTTTTTTATTGACTGCAGAATCACCCTCGGGATTTGAAAAGAAGATGTAAAAACTCGATTTCAAATGGTAAGATGCAAAAGAAAATTTCTGATGGGAAATTGATGTTTGCTTCAGACTATGCCATGGGAAAAGGTTTGAAATGATATCTCTGATTCGTTCTGGCCATCAGCAGAAAGAAGGCATTGGTTTTTCCGCTGCTTCATGCCAAGATGTAAGATTCAACGGAACTGGTTATTTGCTTGAGATTGGAGCAAGGGATAAGGCATTTGCTAGAGATCTATAGGGACATTAGATCCAACCTGTTTGCAGTTTGGGAGCAAACATTAGTCACGTTTTGGTGATAGAGTGCAAATGTATGAGCTCCGATTTCTGGATTATTATTATTTTTCGGAGGTGGGGGTATTTGAAGGAAACACTGATTGAAAGTTGTGGAAAGGGGGAGACTACGTGAGTGGGTAAAACATTTTGTTTTTTGACTTTGTAAATTTCAATTAATCAATATGGAGGGAAGACTTCTGGTCACACCAGTGAAGCTGAACCACATTCTATGTGTCGTGTGGAAAAGAACAACAAAATCATCAACTCTGGACTTTTTATAAGTGATTACTCAAACTTCTGGGAAAAAAGGAAGTTTTTTGTTTCACTAGCTCTGTGCGACAGCAATACAAGTACCAGTAGTATCACACAATTCAAAGTTTCAAATTGAATTGTGTCTATTTTTATCAAAAACATTTCAAATGAATTCTTTTCCAAATGTTTGTAACATGAGAAGTATCGAGTACAAATTTCATCAAATTCTACCAAAGATTTGGAGGCCAAACAAAAACTATCTACTGCAGAAAATGTTTGAAATGCCAGCTGAACAATATGTGTAATAGGAAACAATTGTCCAAGTTTGACATTATCGGGACAACGGGGGAATTTGTAAAGGAGGAAAGCAAGCCAGCGAGGAACTGATAACATTTTGAAGACATGACTCCCAAAGGGGGAGACAAGTCACGGTATGACAGGCATTGATAAGGAGCCACAAGCGTGGAGGGGTTCTATAATCCGCGGCAGAGTCAGCCAGTCTGCAATTCACACCAGCGATTTCCTGCTTTGGTTACAAAACAATTACCGGCCAGTGACATAATTTATCGAAAGGGGGGGGGGGGGAGGGAAGGTTGGGGGAGGGGATTGGGTGGGGTGCAGGTTTGGGAGGCGGGACCACAACTTTGTGATGAATGGGACGGCAAAGTCCCAATTAAAGGTCTGTCAAATTTGGAACTTACGGACAGGTCTGTTGGGAGGGGGTTCATATGGTAAACTCAGGCAACTGTACTTGTATGGTGTCACCTTTTTGGGGGGGAGCAGGAGGGAGTGGAGGAAATGGTACATTAGCCTTTTGAGATTAAGAGCTCAAATTGTACACGCCTTCCTTCTTAAATATCATGACTGTATGGCCTTTAAATGCTCCATGCAGATTACCAATTTAATCCTATAATGGATTAAGTGATTATCCCAAGCAAATCTCACAGAATCTAAGTGGTGCCTCAATGATGTTATGTAGTCTGTGTCGGTCGTTTGTCAAAACAGGTCTATAACCGGAAATGAGCGTTATGAATAATTAATCACCTAGACCTCAATGGAGGGGAGGGGGCTTCTCATGAATAATGAATTAGCTCATGAATAATATATTCGTTAATGTGGGAGACAATAATGTGCAGATGAAAGGGTAGTCTGGCGGTTCAAATGGTTTGCTTTTTTAAATCTTGGTCAGTTGCTTGTAATTATGCTTTATGCAACAGGTGGTCTCGATGCATTGTCGGTTATTGATCTAGAAACAGAAGCTACCGGTATGTGTACATGTACGTACATGTACATGTACAAGCACAGTCTTCTGTTCCCGAGTTACCCAATCCGTTTCAAATTTCTACTTAATACCAGAGCGGGAAAACTATGAACACGACTGCATAAACTGAATACAATCCATTAACTACATGCATATATGTTGTGTGAAGCATACAATCATGTACAAACCAACGTACATGAATCATACTGCATAGTGCTATTTGTATAATTGTGTTGAAACATATAATACAATTTCAAGGCCCTGATGTTTTTATTGTACCACCTTTTCTTCTCAAAGGCAAAAAGACAAAGGAGCAGTAAAAAAAGAGAGAAAAAAAAAACAGGAAACAGATAGAAGAAAGGGATAGGACACAATATTGAAACAACTTCAATAGTTTCATATCACATTACACACTGACTGAAATGTACAAACATCTCATACAACCATGACGTTTCCCCCCCCCCCAAAAAAAAATATATATTAACCTTAAAGGCCACTCCATATTCAGCTTGAAAGCCAACACAACTGTAAATTTGTGAAGTCACGTCAAGTTTTCGCTTTGCAAAATCGCAAAAGTTGAACACATTTCAACTCCGGCAAATTTCTTAGCGAATGTTTTATGACGGCAAATTGGCTTCGCATTCACATTCGCATGAAGTGTGAAACAGCCTTAAGGCAAATTCATTGAACTAATCACGATTGGGAAAAAAAACAAAAAATGAAAGATAAAAAAGTGTATTTACCTTTTTGCCAGCCAGCTTGATGTCTTGCTTGAGAAGATTTGACAATGCTGCCAGGTTGGCCTTCGCTGATTCCATCATCCACTGGTGCTCTAATGGATCAAGCTGAGGGAGAAACAAGCCAATCCATACCAAGTCATCATATGCCTTTAAATTCAAGCGAACATCATCACCCTGTACTACATCCTTTTTAACCAAGCTACCTTGACTGTGAAGGAAACCAATGACTGTTAAAACATCCAAGGGTCTTCAAAATGAAGTAAAAGTGGCCAGGCTCCACTTGTTCCTAATTTTTTTGCAAAATCCTTGAAAAACCCCAAAGTGTTTTTTTTTTAATGAGCTCAGAGGGTGAGGGTTCACCAGCAACAATCATGAAAACCAAGAATTTGATTCCTGAAGTGCATTAAAAAATGTGTGGTTGTCACTGAATTATGTTTTTAATATTTGCTTCAAAATGGCGTCAACTTTGATTTCAGGAAGCTTTCATTCTCCCCAGTGTTTGCTTAGGTCCTACGATGAAACACACAGTAATGTCACACGTAGATCTTTCAATATAGGCCTAAGTATCCCAAAGAATAAAAATATTTTTAACCCCCCCCTCCCAAATGATAGAATTCTTTTTAAAATTTGTTTTAAATATATGAGAAAATAAAGCTGAGGATGGATATTTACGATGACATTTAATAACAAGGTTTTCTCAAAAGCTGACAATACTTCACCATTTAGACAGGCCCATGATACTTTCAATTACCATGCCGATAAACATCAAAATGATCTTAAAAAGCGTTATATTTTCAATTTGCCAAATCCCATGAACATTTGTTAATAATGGAGTTCTGAAATTGAAACAAGCTTGGGGCAAATGGGCCATAGCTATGACAAGTTACGTAGTGTGGCAATGTTACAACACTTTAACAGCAATCAAAGCGCATGTATACGTGAATGCAATAACAGCCAAAAATGCTAAAATTGAGAAAATGATCACCTGAAAGAAACACACGGTAAAGCACTGAAACTACAAAAGTTAGAACTTTGAATAATGCTCAAAAACCAAAGAACGATGTCATGAGGTAAATTCAAAATTTGAATAAAAACTCAGCATGCAAACCCATGTTTGAAACATTTGCATAACATGATGTATCACTCACCATATTCTCCAAAAAGAAAATACAATGAAAGCATTTGAAAATATAACAGGTAAATAATTGAAACATCCTTTATATAATAGTCTAAAACAATGCATCTGCTTTGTGATTCTCAGACCCTCTTGTGACAAAAAAAGGCCAACTGGCGGTTAGGCCAAAAAAAAGTCTCTGGTTTCTGGTATGCGCGCGCATCGCCGTAGCCATGCGCGTAAGCAAAATTAAACACTTTTTTTTTCAATAAAAGATTATGTCTCAAAACCGCCAAACTCACTGGTTTGACTGGAATCCTGCTGCTGCACAATTTTAACGTGTTTTTAGATGGGGTTATGATCGAGAATAAGCTTTATGTGGCCTTTCTGGACTCCCATATATATTTTGCACTAAATTTAGTCGGGCACCATATGCAGTCATCAGCCGACATTTGAAGGAAAAAAAGGGGGAGGGGAAGCCGCATCGCCGCACCACTTTTGGGGCAAGCTCCATACCAGAAACTGAAGACTTCTTTTTTTTTGGCCTGATGTTGGTAATAGTATTCCATAGTTCACTCACCATTATCACAACAGGGAAATTAGCCTTGGTTCAAGACTGAAGTGTTGTAAATTTTATGCCATCCAAATGCTGGAGTGGCAGAATTGAGTACAGACACCAATTGTGCAACAGCAATACCTTGGGCCAAGACTATACATGGAAACATGAATGCATAGGCCTAAACCTCACAAAGATTTGTTACCGAGGCAAATTAGGCAAAATTAGGAAAAATTTGGGTAAAGTGAGTAAATGGGAAGGTTGAAAAAATTTGAAGCTAGAAAAATATTTTTTTTCAAAGCATGCAATGACTGCAACAAGTTCAGCCTGAAAACAAAGCTCAAGTTAGATTTTCAGGTCTGTGGCATGGGTGAAATTCAAGGAACACAAAAAAACATGATTTTATAAAGTTGGATAAACTGAGTGAATTACAAGACTATTTTAAAATCATGTTTTCAATGCGTGAACCCCCCCCCCCCCACACACACACACACCCAATTTTGTTGTCCCTCGCAATTGTATGATGCGAATGAACACTGATACCATGATTTTTCTCACAGACAAAAAATAAACTTACAACTGTTGGCAAAGAACAATCCCAGCAACACACGAAGGCCCCCTTCAATGGCATAAAGCACTGCGCCAGCAATTGCACCAAGCAATTATCTGAACAATAGCTGGCAAAATACTGCCGCCATTAAAGGGGGCCTCCGTGAATGCACGTACATGTACAGTGATAACTTGCTTGGGATGGTCTATAAGCATTTTTGAAAGATTCGGTAAAAAGCTAGCATCAACATTAAATAGGAACACACCTTGCATGCATATGAAATGACATCAATCAATGAAAACATGAACACAAACAACAAGAGATATAAGGCATGTTGGGGTGATGTGATGGGTGGGGCCTGGGGGAGGGGGGGGGGCTGACTGCAGCAGACTATGGGTGGTTGATGTGGCTTTACCTGATGCCAATGTACTACAGTATCTGTACTACACGAGGTGCTGGCCTCGCTGCTAATGGATTGCATAGTGCCGCTGGACTGCAGTCCAGGCTATGACCAGCAGCAAGGGGAAAGAAACATACAATTAGAATCACACTGGGTCAGTAGTGATACTACATGTTCATGTACGTTAATAACAACTACTCAGACAGCAACTACAAAACAATTGAAACAATTCACAATACACAGGCACACCGATAGATTGTCGCAAAGAGGCCACTAGATACATCTTCAGTCAACTTCCTTTCAGTTAATCAATCATTCTTCATTGTTACCGGTAACTAGCAGTACCCAAAACAAATATACCAGAAAAATATACAGGTTTTATGCACGCAGAAGCCTCGTAAGTAACAATCATGGTTGTTGACTGAAAAAATATCCAAATGAAACCGTGCGTCACTGAAAAGCAAACAGAAATACCGCATCCATGTGGCAATACATGTTTAAATACTGATGTTGACTTTTCCCCCCACAATGCATTGCCCCAAAAGAGGCCTCTCTATGGTCACCTAGGAAGGAAAACTCTTTCTTAGGCCAAAAAAAAAAATAGTCGGTCTCGGGTCAGCGCGCACGTCGATTTTAATCATGCGCGTCGATCTTTTTTTTCTTCAAAAATGTTCCACGGTAGCTCCAACAGCGCCCTCAATTGCCGCACATCCTCAATTTTTTTTACCAAAGAGCACCAAGGAATGGGAAATTGCGTCAAGGCAAATAATCGAGGGCACCAAGGCAAATTATGGAGGACACCAATGTACATGAGGACACCAAAAAAAGTACAATCCAAGCTTGAAAAAAAAAAAAAAGCCGCGTCACCGCATCAATTCTGGAACTTTGGTCTGACCAGAGACCGAGTATTTTTTTTTTTTTTGGCCTTACATCTTGGTAAAAACTACATGTACATATTTTGGAGACTACGACAACTAGGTAACAGTCTACTCAGAGAACAAAGTTTTTTGTTAATATGTCATATGGTATTAAAATTGTGAAATTTCTAATTGGTACACGTACATGTACATGACCCGATGGATCACATGCTACCCCCGGAGCATCATCCTGATCTCTGTCAAAGACTGAATGTCTTAGTTCCTGCTGTTTTGCGCAGGTGCAGAAGGTCATGACGCTACCCTTCACATGCAGAAGGAACATGATGCTACCCTCCACATGCTCATGTCAATGTGGAGTCTATCAAAGGCTGAAGCATTGGACTGTTCAATTAAAACGTGCCATTTGAACCCCTCGGCATACAGAATGCCACAGACTACTACTATAGCATACAACAATATACTGACAAACTGCCACAAATACACGTAGCTCCGTGCAAATACATCATGCCATGTTGGTTACCTGTGGCATCAACAAATCCTCACAGCTTGGACTCCGACTGTTCCTGGGAGAGCTGGGCTTCTTGGCAACAAATTTTAAAAACGAAACATTTAGAACGTCCGACTCAACGGGAAGGACATCTGGGGTGATGGCATTGTGTTCCTTTTATCCCTTGTTCTAAAGATTTCACATCCGGGGGATGTTTTTCTATAGATTTCACATGTGGGGTGATGTCCTGAAAGAACCATCACCCGACATGTGGGGTAAGGTCAGAACTGAGTAACTGCTTGTCTTTGATTCCCAACTCACAAGAGATGCCTCTGCTTAATACAAGAATTGTTTTCAAAGGTACTAAGATACATGCTTTTTGTACAAAATCTTAAGTAGGGTGCATAGCTAGCTAGAGGTGTTCATCAGAACCAGGCACCCTAGTACCCTGATGGGATTGGGTACCCATAACCAACTTTATAAATCACTTAAAAGTAACTTCCTAGGCAATCTATTCGAAAGATGAAATTTGCGTCAGGGTGATGTAAATTTTACATTAGGTTTTGCCCTTCACCGACGTATGCCATTTTTGGGGAATTTCAAAAAGCAAAACCAGGCTACCTGGAAAACCAAAACAGATTTCACATTTATGTGTATTTGATGGCGCAACAGATGACGCTCGCAAAAGTTACAGTTTACACCGTAAACCTAGAAAGCCCTTCAAACAAATGTTCAATTTGAATGTTTGGGTTGGGTTTCTTTTACAGGTACCCGTCTTTTAGGGTTCCCGGTTCCTGTACTACCCCGTAATACGCACACCACTATCAATAACAACTAATCAGCCTGTTGAAGTTTTAGCTCGGTGGTTACTATACATTTTAGAAAACAGAGAAAACATAGACACAATTTTTAGGGTCTCATACATGTAACTTGATTCCGTTGCATTTAAGATGGAATAATTTCAGGGTATCTGGTAACAGTCCTTTCTTCACTTTAAACAAGGTGTTCTCATAAAATCGGCAAGTTTCTGGTTAGGTACCAAAGAAAAGGTCAGCCAAACTGCAAAATGACACTTTTGAATTGGAACCTTTTGTTTGTTCACATGAAAATGAGAAAAAGAAAATTCCCTGAGTGTCCAAAATAACAAAAAGACAATCATAAGGCTAAAACTAGTCACATACTGTAACTAAGCCCTTTACTTTTACCAAGGATTATCATTAATGTACCATGGACACCGCCCCCACTGAAAAACATTAATGTTGAATGTAGATGCACTTATGTACAGTGCATGCATGGAACATGAGGTAGCAGAAGAAACGAGTAATTCACACCACAGTTGCCAGACGTCTGAAAAAATGACTCAGGAAATAATCGTCAACACATGTGCCTCACACTCCAGTGGAGGGGTCCCCAAGAGAGACAACAAACTTTCTTAATTTTTTCGGTGTCATCTCCAAAGATTCCTCCCTCCCCAAATCCCTGAACTGTCTCTCAGATTCCAAACACTCGTATTCAAAACAGGCCGACCCCAACACGTGTTTCGGCACTATCTGACAAATGACAAGCACCCGCGAGTTTTGACACTTTCAAGGAGTCGACGCGTGCGTGTCAAGACGTGCGTGTGTAGGGGCGACGATTAGAATTGAAATCACGTTGCATGGGGTTCAGAATGTCATGAGCTTTAGATGGGGGGGGGGGAGGGGGCTTAAGTCAGTGGCTTGGATCTAATGAGAGGAACGAGTTGCAATCAGGAATCGCTGGCGCGTGACTTTTTGTAAAGGCGACTGGATCAGAGCGGATCATCGTTTGGGGACGGAGGTTTTTTAGGAACGAAAAGACACCGTTTCACAACTTTGGACGTGTGAAAGTGCCAACCGCAATGAGGTCACGCTTGGGTTTCTTCCTGGCTAGCTCTTGGCGATGGTGTTGACAGCCATTTCATTACCAGGCCAGAATTATGGAGGGGACCACGGTATGAATACTGATGAAGTATTGAATCCTGAATCACTCTGGATCGTCAATGGCCTGGTTTATCAGGTTGGGACCGGTTTATCCATTTCGGAAACAGGAGGAAAAATAGGGTAATTTGGCCAGGAAATGGCTAATGCCTTCCCCTCAAGAGGTTTGATTATTTTACAAATTCTGATTAAAATTGTAGAAGTGACCTTCCTTAAAAAAAAAACACACCTTTACTTACTACTTTTAAGCTTCTCTAAAAGTAAGATCAGCAAAAAAAACAGTTTATGAAATTCCTTTCCTTTTCACAGCAACATTCAAATTACAATTGCACACACACACATACTCATCTGCTGGATACAAAGGTGGCAAATGCCTGACCTTACTCATTACAATTTCAAAGTAAAGTCGAATCTTTAATTTTGTCACTTGGGTATACAACAACAAAATAGTAACCAGCAACAGTGTCTTCAATTGTTAAATGTGACATACGTATACACTTAAAAGAATTACTCACCGAGATGAGGGGGGCAGTTTCATCCTCTTTCAATCCTTCTTCTTGTCTGTTTGTCTGAAAAAATGCCATCAAACAGAATATTTCTTTTTATAAATCTGATAAATTATTTATACAAAATCAGTGCCTGTGTACTTTGAATGTTGCCTGTGTACTTTTTTGTTCCAGTGATGTAGTGCGTGAACTCGTACTCGTAGTCTCATACTTTTCTATTCGTACTTGCATTGTACTCATGAAAATGTTCTTAAACTCATCACCATATCAAAAAAATACCTCTACCTGTGCTTGTACGGTAGTAAAGTTATCATACTCCTACTCGTAATCATGTAAACATTGTTTTGCGCATACTCCAAAGAAAAAAATTACCTGTAGTCAAACTCATACCGGTATATAAATTTCTATAAATGCCTAGTCTTATAGCAAATTCCTTGTGAACTTGTGTAAACAAGGAACGCCAAAACAGTCGAGGCCAGACAGTGACAATGACACTTGTACACAAACACACACACACCTTGGTTTAAAACGGACAGGCCTAGACATATCTGCTTCTTGTCCGTTTCAGATAAAGTCTGATTCATCTATTCCCCCCCCCCCCCATGAAACGGTTGATGCACTTTTGATCCTCATCACCCGCACTAACCATTATCAATGTCATCATGCATACACGGATCACCTAATCATCCCGTCCTCTTATTTAATAATAGAAAAGAGCCCCTTTCACTCATTCAAACAAAAAAAGCCACCTAGCTAATTACAGAACACCAAATCCTGCGGCGCAAAATGATATGACAAGCACACACACAATACAAGGCAATGCAAACTCCTGCTTAGCCAATGCCGATTCCCAGAGGACTAGGGAGCTTCATTTAGTATTTATGAGATTTCACACCGTTATGGATTCCTGAAGAAAGAAAAAACCTCGCTGACGAAAAGACCGACACATCCCGACATCTGTCCAACAGAAGTGGGATGTCCATGTAACCGATAATTCTTTCCCTTTTAATCTTTCCCTCAAAATATATTTGGGAAAACACGTCTACGGGAATCACATCAATGATCATAACACTGGTGTTCTTATCCTTTCGTCTTGCCTTTCGTCTTGCAATGTTTTGCATCATTATCAATTTTCACTATTTCTTTATCCGTCACGCTGTCTGGTTTGATGATGGTTTTGCAAGATAAGAGAGTGACTCGCAACAGCTGCAGGCTGAGAGCATCAAAGATTTACGTCCAGGGGAATGAAAAATGAGCGCTGTAAATATTTCATGGTGTTGTTGACGCTGACAGTCTAACCGCTTCATTGTCGGGCAATTCACGTTGTGATCAGCCCTCATTTGCTTGTGGTGAGGCTCCAGGGATAACTAAGCATTGAAGGTTAGAGTCTTAGAGGCAGGCAGATGATGAAAAAAGGAGGCTTAATTCAAAGAAAACCATGTTTTACAAGACCATTACTGGCATCCAAATTACCTGAAATGGGGGGGGGGGTGTGAACAAAATATTGGGCATTAAAGGTAAGCCTCAGCAACCAACAAGACGTAGTGCAAACTTGGGGAGACACATTGCTGGGGGGGGGGGGTAAATTGGAGGGAAGAGGGGGTGGGGCGCAAATACCGCCTCCCCTTTATGCCCCTAACCTCCATAGCGTTACCACTGAGGTGATACATGTATGAACCTTGGTTGCATTTGGGCAATTTCACAGAGTTATAAACCTCAAAGCTAAAATTTCAAAACGGTCCAAAATGCTGTTCAAAAGAAACATGTATATTATTTTGAGGCTTATTATCTGGCATTTTATTGATATGCATAGTTTATTTCTAACTCTGTTCAACAGTTCGGTTGTTACTTGCAATCGAAAAATGGGTAGGCCCTACAAAAAAAAACCAACTATTTGTCTGGGTACATCCAACACCATGTGTGTTTTTTTCCAAACCAAAGTATAGTAAAAAGGTTGAATAATTCTTTTTTTAAAATCATTGTAGCAATTAACTGATACCTTTTATCAGAATCAAACTCCACTTGATGATTATAACTTTGATGATTATAACTTTAATGATGCACACTGTTTAATTGTCACAAATGTACATCAGCCCATTTGTTGACATGTTCCAACGTTCCTTCTTTCAGTTCCTACCTCAGAATCCGGTTCTGAGCTGGTCTCTTTCTCGGACGTCTTGGGCACCGACTTGACCGGTGACTTGAACCTCTCGACTTCCTCTTTCTGTGACTGGACTTCCTGGTCAAAGATGTCGGCAAAGCTCTTGACGCTCTTGATCTGACGCTTCTGGTCAATAATCCGCTCGCCTTCTTTGGTCTGGAATACCATGGAGGAAGCATTGGAAAAAATGTAGGAAGAATTTATATGGGATTCCGAATGGGAAATGACTGGAAAAAGAGAATTACAGTATTGGAATAGGGCAATAAAAATATTAAATATGGTAAGAAGCATCAAACAAAAGACAGCAAGAATGTATACACGAATGGGAATTGACTGGACAAGGAGAAAGTTTTGATGGGAATAGGGCAATGAATATTACTTGAAGAATAAGGAAATAAAAGGATAGTGAGAAGTCCTAAGGGAAGTTCCAAGGAAAAGGACCAATAAATTCTGACTGACTGACCTTCTATGGTCTTGTGAATATTAAAATCATAGGAGCAAGTCATTAGGGAATAGGAATAGGCAGGGAATTTCAATACAACACTAATTTCTACATTTTATGAGATGAATTTGAAAAAATTTCTGTGAAACAAAATTAAACTAAATTTCCATGACATCCGTAAGATGCAACTGTTCAAGTTTCTGAAAAACTCTACATTCCGTAAAAACTTTGCAAGTTGTTCTTTTACCGCTGTGACGTACAGGTAGCACAAGAAAGATTTAAGGACAGGGCTATTCACTATGGACTTAGGATTTTTTTCAAACAGACTTACACTGATGACATCCTCTTGCTCTTTGGGTCCTGTGTACTCCGTCTCCTTGTCTTCGACCGGGGGCCCCGTCACCACGGCAACTGCCTCCTCCTCCTCATTACCCATGCTCCTCCTGGCATGCTTGGGCCGTCTGGCAGGGGGTATGGGCTCTGATTCAGAGGTGTCCCCAGGGGTCTGTGAGTGATCCTTGTCTTGAAAGACCACCAACTTAGGCAGTTCCACAAAGTCCCTGTAATTGATGTCCTTGTTTTTCCTCTTCAGTACAACGACCTTATCATCCTGTGGAGAAACAAAATAAGAACATGTCAGTAAATAAAAAGTGATAGAATAAACAAATTAGGCATCCATGTACTCACAGATCTATGGTTGGACCTTGTGAAACTTCGGAGACCAAAAAAGAGGAATCAGTCTCTCAACCAAATAAACCTTATGCTTTGTCAGAGGACAATGGTTTTGTATCATTTGGATAGGCATGATAGAACCTTCTGAACAATTGTATTCATTGTTACTAAATTACTGTGTAAAATAACCGAGAACGCATGTATACAGCTTGTCTGCATTGACGTCATTGGTTCGAGTCTCACCTACACAGCACTGAATATACTGTTGTAAAGGTGTGGTTGTAAAGGTGTGGCCATAAAGGGGCAAAATCTGTTTTGTTATTTTTTTTATTTTATTTTTGTATTTGGACAACTTCTAACAATGCAAGTGCCACAACAGGACGGATAAGACTTGGTAGAGGATGTGGAAGGACATTACAGATTTAGTGGTGTATATGGAATGATATTCTAGGGAAAAACCCACGGAATCAGGGAAGGACTGAAAACCCAATCCAAATGTTGGCCCAGGCGGGATTCGAACCCGGATCACAGCGGTGGAAGGCGAGGAAAGTACCACTACGCCAACCTGATCCCCCTATGTGCATGTATTGTAAATGTGTCTCATATTCACAATCTGCAAACAAAAGGGAACAACACGACCTTTGAGTTGAGTGGTGTGCCATGAGATGGAATATGGTCAAGTGTATTTTCTTTTGTCAAAAAAAGTGTATAATTATTGTGGAATTAGGCCTAAGGTAATCTTATTTTGTCATCTTGTTTTCACATGCAAAATGCAACTGTTGTTGTAACTTTTCGTTTTTAAGGCAGAGAGAAAGATTTATATTCTATGAGAAAAGATTTTTTTTGATTAATACCGGTATGTGTTTTTAACTTGTACCAAAAGATGGGCGCACAAACTGTAACACTATACCGTAATGCAAGTAACTGAAGTACACATGTTTCCCTCGGGTCACTTTAAGATTGATTATTTTTTAATAACTTTATGGTACCGGGTAGACTTACACACTCTGAAACGATTCTTCCAACATTGCACAGCATATATGAGGAAACTTTTAAATGCAAGGCATTCAAAGTTTTGCCGTATCAGTTTTCGTAAATCGAGTTACTGAAGAAAAAAAATTATTGCCAAACCAACAGAAGTTTATTTTGTTGGTCTCTTTTTGTAGTTTAGTCACTTTACTTTGAGGGAAAATCCACCCTTTGGCCTAATGCTTTGTTTCTATAGAATAACAGCACAAAGTTGACAGAAAAAAACCCTTTAGATGAAATGCAAGTTACCATGGAATTGCCCAATGGTAGATTTCCAGGGACATCAAGCTCTAAACAAAGTAATTAACCAAAACTCCCAAATCCTCCAGAACTTCAAAATGGATTTCGTAGAATCTAGGAGGTTTAGGGCTTAATATAGCGACAGTTCTAACAGCCCCGGATCGGAGCCCAGGAAGTGCCTGCCTGAACAATCTACAACTATGCAACAGTGACAGCATGGCTCATAGGGCATCCGTACAATAATCCCTTATAATATTGGAAAAGCTACAACTGGCACCAAACCGGATTGTCTCTGACAAATTTTGTAATCTGGGATATGCGAGCTGGCTTTACTGACTAGCCCCATAGATGTGTCTCAAATACTGGTCTTCCTCCATATTGTGAGCCACACAGCGGCGTACAGTGTATGCTAAACTTCCTGACAAAAATTGTGTTCCCCAAATTAGAGTGTTTCTTTTACACTTGCTATTCGCTATGGAAGCTACATACATGTACCTACAATGTAGTTTGACCAGGATAAATTAAAAGCTGCCTACCACTAATTGTCTAGTTCTAAAAGTCTAAATTTAGATGAGAAATTTGGAGAAAGTTTGCTAAAGGGTAACAGAGGTACCGGTACATGTAGGGTACTTGATTTTTCCTGCTTTTTAACCAGGTAAATACATGTAGCGTCTATAGTGAATATTAAATGAAGAAACAGTCTAGATTTCAAATTCAGGGAAAACAACTTTTCAGGAAATCTAGCAATCATTGCTGTATGGCTCACAATACGGAGGAAGTCCAGTATTTGATGTAAATTTATGGAGCTATTTACTGACAAACTCACTGATTACATTGTCTTACCACATTTTCAATCTCTTCGTTATCACTGTCCATGGCTTGGCAGTAGAACCAGACATATACCGACACAAATATCCACAATATCCAAAAGGTGAGGAATCGTGCTCTGCCAAGAATGGTAACCAATGGATCTAAACACACTGAATATTCTTTTCAGGCAAGTAGATTTCCTGTTTGAGTGTGCTATGTAAAAGATCCCGGTCTGGAAACAAAAGAATCGGTTTCATTTCCTTCCTCCAATGTTTATGAGTTCAAAGGTCACATGATGCATAATGCATACTATTGTACAAATGTACCAGGTATGTCTGTATGTATTGTACATGCGTTTGTTTATGGTGTAAATCGAGGACACACACGTGCAACATCATCAATGAATCGAGGACAGAAACCAAATCGAGGAGGACTCCTCAGTTGAAAAACATGTACAAAACCAATGAGAGCTGTTGCAAGAGTATAAACAAAGGAAAAGGGAAGAGGAACAATAGAAACTCCTCAATTTACACCACAAACAAACGTGCTAGTACAATCCAGGGACTTTATACAAGTACTGTACACCACTTTAAATGACAGAGCCTACCGGAGCCTACAGCAGTTGGACGACAATACATGTAGTGTATTGCATGCCCATATGAAAATTATCAAAGATTACTGTTGAAAAACATGAGAAAACTTTCATAGTAAAATCAATTTGAACATTTGTACTGTAGATGGATCAAATTCGGTAATGACTGGAAGCATTAGTGCTAAAAAGCCGACTTTAAAAACAACTTTTTGTAAGGATAAGGACACTATTTGTAAACAATTTTTTTGCCGATTCTTGGAATAGCCATATACGGTACAAAAAATATGTAGCAGGTTATTACAAAACTAACAAAACTTTCAGCTCAGTGGATATCATGCTTTTTTAGAAAACTGTGAAAATGCATCTTTTTCTGGACGCAAAGCAAGGTTTCCGTTGAAAGCCCTCCCTTCCAAAACGGTCAGTATGCGTTTTGACTTGCGCCCTCTTGGGGTATATGATCCCCAGTTTGTCACTCGGGAAAATAGTTTTCATTCATGAATATTGAATTATGACTGTAAAATAACCAATTTGGTCAATTCGGGATACATTTGAAAAAAACAAGCTGTTTCATTCTCGTGATGGCTCGGTCCGAACCATCACTAGGAAATAAAGCGTACTATTTCTTCTTTTCTTGAAAACGACAGCAAACCAGGCTCAATGATAACGCAGGATATTTGATCAAGTAGGATATTTCATATTTTGGCAGTTTCATTTTTGAATATTTGCAAACAGTGTCCATTACATTTAACATGACGTTTCAAAATATGTATGTAAAAAGCTGTTTCACAGGCATTCACAGGATGGATCAAACTTCCTTGATTGTAAGGGAAGAATTGGAATAATAGGTCATCCTCCACCATCACCAGCTGCAACTTGTTGACACTCTGCGTCACTTCAATAAAAGGTTTCAGGAGTTCATCAAAACTTGCAACAGCAACGGGTGGCAATGTTGGAGATGTATGAAAAATGCTTTATGTCTTAATTTCATATCTTAATGGAATATGGCTTTCATCACTCAATCGAAAACCAACCTTCTTCAAATTGCATACAGGGGGGCAGTATCCTGACCCGTCTTAACCAATCATAAAAGCCATTCATTCCTGACGCCCGCATAATACTGAGTCCAGCCCATACAGGGGCTGCATCACCATCCACCAGATACAGCAGGGGGTCAAGTTAGTGGGCACTTCCTTCCCCCTCCCCTGGTGAATGTTAGGCTCCGGGGGGGGGGGGGGGGGGGACCTAGAATTTAATGATGGGTGACATGGAGGGGTGAAGTACTGTCCAATTCACCCGGCCCCCAAAATGGCACCTTTTCAAGGCCGTGCCGTGTCAAGTAAGGTGAGTCACGCCAGGTTTTGGAAGGGACCCAAATTGCTGATTCAACCGTCCCTCGAGATAGCAACTTTTTCCCCCGTGTGACAAGCCCCATGTTAATAGAAATTATCAATATTTGTCAACATGTATCATACATCACGTACGTACACTACTCGTTCTTTTAAAGGGTAATACATAATTTGTCAAGCATTGATTTTAACAGCTGCATTCAAATTCTCCCCTCCACTCCAACCCCCTTATAGGCTATACAACAAAATAACAAACAAAAACAATTTCTGACCCCACTTTTACACAATTTTGGTCAACTGTTGAGCGATCAGACTCAAGGCATATTAGGCATCCCAAATTGAAACAGATTCGTACACGAGTCATACTGAATAATAACCAAGACTTGATCTTGATGGATGTTACACAGACACAACATATATGTAAACTCAAAGCTAACTCAAAATTCAGCTCAAAGTCAGGTCTGCTATTCTGTTAAAACTTGTACATTATAAATATTGTACATTGTACATTTGGGTCAAATGTTCAATTTTGTTGAAATCTCACCTTTTCATCTTTCTTGACCACTGCTACCTCATTCATAAACTCCTTGAACTTTCTACGGTTTTCCTCTGTTGAGAAGAAAAAAATCAATTATTAGACCCAAAAAGTATTTTAAAAAATAGCCATTGATATTGTTAACACCTTCTTGTATGTGTTAGGTGACCATCACTTTTAAAAGCCCTCTGAGAAGTCCCTAGAGCCCAAAAGGAATGTATGCACGATCCAACTCCTTTAATTTTACAAGACTACATGTAGGCGAGTCTATGTACCAAGCAAGTCTAGGTAAAAAGTGACAGTCGGTCAGTGAAATAGTAGACTTGACTTAAGTCGGGATTCTGTATGCTGCGCCATTGATCATGGTCCGTGTTCCGGGTACATGGTGTATGTGCGCCGTCCCCGATCATCAGTAGCGCGCCCTTATGCGCCGCCCCCGCTATGGATCGCACTGACATTGATGACATCACACGTTGACGCCGGATTGCGGAACGGCAACCAGATGAGGGCGCCTATATAAGCTAAGGCCATTAATATTATGCGCATGGATTGAATTATAACAAAGCATAGTACGCATACGGATTGAACAAAGAAGTCCGACTTGGGTCAAGTCTAGTGAAATAGGTTCAGAGTGCACCAAATTCTATTCAATTGATTCACAATGGCTATTCACCAGAAGTCCTTTCATGCATGGGCCATATTTAGCCCATTCTCTGACATTAAGGGGATATCCTATACGATGACACTGCCCGGCTCTCTTCACCCATAGAGGTATTACCCCATGCTTCACCAGTCTCTACAACTGTTACAAGTGACAGTCAGTCAGTCAGTCACTGGGAACAATGCACTAGTCAATGGCAAGTGGTCTCAACCGCTTCCATAGGTAGGTGTGTAATTGCTGGCTGAAGCCAAGGAATTTGGACACAGCCAAAGCTACAAAAAAAAGGACACTACACGCCCTCTGGGACCTGCAAAAACTAACAGTCTGGTGTTTTAACATTTTCAGTCCCTGTCAAAAGTGTCATGTTTCAACTGGTCGTCCAATGACTCAGTACCTGCACACATGGATACGTTTATACACCACTTTTGCAGCCCATACATGTACATGTAATATAGACATATTCTTGACAGACATAATCATTTTAGACATGTCGTACGCCAGTGATGGCATGCCTATCCATCATTCTGGTTTTTTTCAACTCTTGCCTACGTGCTTCCCCAACCAAGGTTTACTCATCACTAACATTTGCTCAAACTGAAACAATTAAAAGTGCTGGAAAACTTTGCTAAACTAGTTTATGTTCACTCAACTTAGAGTGCACTAAAAGTTTTGAACAGAGATGGACCTCACATACAGTTTCTTTCCAGGGGGTGGGGGGCTGGCCTGGCTATAAAAAATCTAACACAGGGTGGCAATGTCATGATGAACTAGTGCAAACAATGTACATACATGGATTTCCATGTTTAAAGTACCTAATTATTCCACCTGGCATTAAATGCATTATATTTATAGTTTCTAGAAAGAAACCCTTTTTTGGGGGGAGGGGGGGGGGGGGGTCGGGGAGGGAGGTATGGCGGTACAAAAGAAAATTTAGTTTCAATATTCTTTTTTTGTCTTCTATTATCCTTAAAATCACTTTTTTACAATAAGGAAACGTTTCTTTGAATATTTACTTCAATCTTTTTTTATGTAGAATTGTTTTAATGAAAAGTACTTCTTTAATTACAATTTACATTATGGTAAAGAAGTGAAATTCATATCAAAAATGTTATGACCAGTGCTACAGAGGTATACAAAGTCACATTACTTTCATTGTCCCTTAGATAGTGTAAAGATGATATTAAACAAACCTTGGACAGCCCCTAACATGGCGAACACAAAGAAACATGTTTTTTTAATGAATCAATCGTGTTTTTACACTAAATTACACCAAATTACACTCAAAACTGAAAAAAAGGAAAATTAACTGAAAAATAAAACCTCATAGGCCTATAGTACAGGCTAACCTTAATTTTTTTTTAATGAATCGGGGTAGAAAGCAGTTTTCTGATGTAAAATGTAAACCACATTTTCACCGTATGCTCAATTATACAAGTACAGTGATATGATTCTGCAGTTCATGTTGACAAAAGCATTTGGGAGTAGACGGAGTATGTATTGGCTATCGTTACGGCAGCAGTACACGATTTTCAACTGCTTTCGTTATGGCATTACAAAAACACCATTGTGAATTGTTGTCTACCCTCCCAACCAGAGTGCTTTGATAGCTCGTCTGGTTAAACGTTGGACTACCATGCCAAGGGTCCGCCCAGGATTGAATCTGTACTGTGAGAATTTTTACCATTTTGTTCTTTTAACCCTAACTGTCCTGACTCTCCAATTGTAGTATGATTTTTCATACAACTGACCCATAAGCATAAGGGTTAAAAGTTTCTTTACTTTTATGTTTTTTATTAACTCGATAGCCATTGCGAAATGAGTAGGCCTAAGTGTTTATTAACCCCCTAGTTAATATGGAGTAAAGCACCATAGGCCAGTTTCATCTGTGAAATTTTAAAATGTAGCTATTATAGTGCTGTTATAAGTGCATGCAGACTTTACACAACATACAAAAACTTTCAACCAGTCACAAAAATGGATTTTGTCGGTATTTTGGCCAAATGATGAAAAATATGCCCTTTCCACACTGAGCCAACCACGGTACAAGCGAAATGATAGTATGCGCATGCGTACAAGAGCAAGTATCGTACCCCCGGCCCCCGCGGCGCGCTCCGAGCGAACCGAAAAATCAGCGTTGGATCATATGCGTGCACGTTTCAAGTGTCAGGTTGGCTCAGTGCGGAAAGGGCATTTTTTTCATCATTTTAGCCAAAAAAAAAGACAAAATCCAGCGATGTTTGTTCTGCGCATATTACGTGAGTATGTCATGAGGTGTAGTACGGAGTTTGGGGGCAAACTGTGCAGCAGTTCTGTGGGAAATGTCTGCATTTTGATGGACGTTTTTGTACTTAATTAGTGTTTTGTGCTGAAAACAATTTTGCGGGGTTCTTCATTTATGAGGCTCCACTATAGTTCTAGGAGTAAATGTTGGCATGGTTGGCGCGGAACCAGACCAATATTTGTCTATGCAAAAACCGAGTAAAAAAAACAGTAGCTGCGCATGTTCAGATGTTCAGAGCGGTGTCAGTACAATACTGAAAACAATCGGGGACCAGTTATTCAAATATCCCACTGATGAGGATTCAGGATGGAATTCTCAAGATCCCTACACTCCCTGCAGACTTTGTTACAATACAAAGTTTGTAAAAAGAAAAAAATGTTGCAACCTGACTCCATTTTTTTCTTCATATATCACCTCAATGAAGGTCATTCGGCAAGATTACCATATGCGAAGTTCACTAATTTTCCTCTGTATTGACTAACAAGCCCCCAGATAGCAATGTCATGTCATCAAAGTCAATTTGAGCAGTGAGAAAATACAAGCATTTTCTTAGAAAACACTTGGGCTAGAATTTTTCAGTCCAATCTCATAGGGTTTGTACACAGGGTGTTGAGTGAACTTCGTATATATGGAAATCTTTCCGGTCATTCGTTGCAAAAATGATGATAAGACATGAATCTGGGACTGAGAAACATTTCCAATTTTGTTAGGAAATACTTAGAAAATGTTCATGACTCTCCATTAATTTTGTACACAATCGCGGAAGTGGTGTCAGGTTGCAACATTTTTTTCCTGTAAAAATATCACCAAAGTGGCATCGGGATACTAGCCTATATCATTCCATGTCCACTGATCAAAGCTGATGCAGGCCTATTGGACAATCCTTATTTTCCAATACTAAGAACTAGAAATATCTTAACTGGTCAATGGCAGTTTGCCTTGATAACGATCTGCCCATTTCATCACATTTTTACCTCGCACAATCATGATAATTAACCCCTACCTCTGACTTCCTTATCCGAATGCCGCAGGTAGGCCATAAAGTGCCCGACCACGGCGACATTGCTGACCTTTCCACCGTGTTTAATAATGAAACTCCGGACGCCTTCTGCGGAAAAGTCAACTTCCGGATTCGAGGCGTCCGCCATTTTTCATGTTTTGATAGTAAAACAAAAAAAATCGCAGCCGTTGAAGAACGCCCTCTGTTGACGAACATTTTCGCTGCGCTGAATGTCTCTTTCAGTTTCACATATTTTGTTAAATAAACAGAACTATAGACCTCAGTGGTAATTACGCCCACTTCCAATAATTACGAAAAATACTCACAACTTCCCAAGGTGTTTCAGACACATCAAATTCCATCTTGTGAAAAAAAATTAACACTTATTTCATCATCTTTAATTTTCTGTTCGATTGGGGGGGGGGGGGGGTAACCAATGACTTTTGGTAAAAAAAAATACAAGGATGATCCCCATAGTAGTCCTAAAATAATGAAACCCATCGCCATTTTGAAAAAGTGTGCCTACGCTCCACTTAAGTTGCAAAATAGAGCAGTTTAGGGCCCAATTTCATCTGAATTTGACAAAAATACGAGCTTGCAGTCCTGTTCACGGCTTCCACCCTTCTTTTTTACAAACCCTCAAGTTGATGGCCAACAAAATGCTCAACAGCAAAAACACATCGGGCCTACTACTGGCGTGCATTGTTTGAAGGAAGATATTAAGTGCCATTGTTACGTGACGTGATCATGTTGTTATGCAACTTATGTGCAAAGCCCTGAATTTAATTCCACGCTTGCGCTGTTGACTACTTATCCGCTTTCCGTCCGGGTTCGTGGCGTGGAAAATATTAAAAGAAAAAAGGACCTGTTGCAGGGCGGGTACAAGCGAAGACCAACTGGAGATAAGCGCCCCCTAGCGGCAACTTAGGTATTAACCCCCCCCCCAACCGGTTTTCGAATTTGCCCTTTCGGATCGGCCCATTCCCTGATTCCGTTTCCGACCTCAAATCCTGGGTATGTAAAGACTTTTTTTAAGTGCCTCTTTCATAAAGGAGGGTGTTAATATGCATTTTGGGGGGCAAAATCTGTTGCCAACCACGCGAAAATTATGCCCTTGCGGCAGTCCATACGAATGGCGCTCAAGTCAACAAACGAAAGAAAATTCTTATACTACAATCATATCTACGAGACGCAAAAGTTATGATTTCGCAAAATGCATTTTCTACTTTTGTTCCAACATGGAGATCTCGTGCGAAGAGGTGAGTTATTCTTGTCACTGTTCATTGTTAACCCTGACCTGCTAGTCTAGGAGCTATCAACCTCCTTCCCCTCATATGGATCTGTTTGTGTCTACACATCTGGTGTTGCTATAGAGGAAGACCGTGTCATGTTTAACACAATCCATGTTGTTCCTCGACCTACTTTCGTGCCACATTGAAAACTTCATGGTCCACTCCTCCCTTTACAAAGGTATATTTATAAACCAATCCGATCACGCTCTGACGGAGGCCCCCTATAATGGAGAAAACACTGTGCCAGCTACCGTTCAGATAACCCATCAAACAGGGCCGTTGCTTGGTACTATAGCTGGCACAATGCTTTCGCCATTGAAGGGGGCCTCATCGTGTACAAAATGTACAGTGATTGCGTGCTCTGAATACATGTAGTCTAAATCCCAATAATCTTGTTAAAAGTTTCGATGTGTGTTGTGAAAAGCCCGCCATCATCTACGCCAACCAATGCCTCCCTTCAATTTTCGTTGTTGCAACTGAATGTACGTAATGGTGTGTTCTTTCTAATTGTGAGGATGACCCATGTATAAATGCATATGTAATTTTTTTTAATGCAACCCTTGAAAATGCACCTTTGTGTTTCATTTTAACCTTATTTTCAATTTTCACTTTTCCGTTCTTCAGGTAATTTTGGCGCCTTTTATGTTTTTATGCTAATGCGAATTTCCATGTTCATGAGCAAAAGTGTGATGTTGTTTTAGACAGAAACTTCAATTTGCGGCTATTTCAGCACCAAACGTTGCCAGAATTTTGAATATTTTGCTGTCGTCAATTTTCTTTTCTTTGGTGATTCGTTGTTGTGTCAGTACATGACAGTCAGTCAATAATTATGAGCAACCTTTTCTCACAAATGTCTTCGACGAGCACATTATTGGGTTCACATTTTAACAGAAAACCCCTAAACTGAACAGTGCCTTCCTAGAATGATATCACAGCAAAAGCGCCCTCAGTGTTGTCAGGAAAAGCATCGAAAATTTCAATAAAATTAACCAAAACGGGATGTCAAATAGTTTGACTAGCTGCACAAAATTTGTTCCTCAGTAAAAATTCGTTCAACAATTTGAAGATTTATCCATTCTTCTACCGAAAGTCCGTTGCGCCCTTCCTTCACCAACTTGTGATTTTCGCAGCGCACAACAGAAATGAAGTACAAACCAGTCTTTTCATGGCAAACCATGATTCTTAAACTATCAGAAACACATATCATGCATGAGTTATATTCCATTACATGTTTTTCCATACGGCATGCCAGTTGCCCCATATTGTTAAACATGAATGTATTGCACACACATAACTACTGGCGAAATTGGTGTTAAGGAATAAGGGTCCGTCTTATACCGTAACCAATGCAGGACGACGCAGCACACATTTCACTTTTCATATGCCACGATAAGGTCAAGATGTTAATTGAAAAATACTGTAAGAATATGATAAATTAATTCAAAATAAGACACAAATTTTTTCAACGATACTATAATACTTTTAATATAATTTATGAATCAAAATATTCAACAATGACTTTTAAAAGACATAATTTAACACTGAAAACATGAATCTTTCTGCAATAAACAAAACTATTTTTCCACAAAGTACATTTTACATAAGTTTGTATTTCTCCAAAGGAAACAAGCGTCAAGGTTTAGGTTCCTAATTTCAAAATAACAACTACCCACAGATTAACGTTCCTTTCAATTCAATATCATATGACGATAAACTTACAAGAACAGTCAACAGAAAGCCGGATAAAACTTAATAGACCCTCACCCAAGAAAGAAATAAACACTTCTGAACAACATTTTAGAGCGAAAGTTTTTTTTTTTTGGGGGGGGGGGATGAGCTTTGTTAGTCTGCCACTTATTTTTATGTAATCTGAACTATCAGTTCATATCGTTTTATGTTGTAAAACATTGCGGGTCGCAGTTCTTTTCCGAGAGACTGAAACTCCATTTTTATTTCATCAGTTAATACTGCACTTATTCCTTCCACGAAGTTTTGAAATTTGAAACATTTTGAAAATGTTTTAAGGCATTAATTTTCCTGCAAAGTTTGTTGGTGTCAGCGTAATATCAACGGCTATTTCATGTACACCTGATCGTTGTATCTAAGGCGGTAGTTCGTTTCAATGTCAACCACGGGTGAGGTCAATCCACGTTCGTCTATCACATGTCCGAGGCATATCTAAATGACAGGGGAAAAAGCGAGTACAAAAACATTAAGTAAAGAAATCAGCACATTAAATCTAATATCACACTGAAAACATCATCAACATTTCGCTATTTTTTTCAACTCTTCATCTTGTGTATTTGCAACTGCAATGTGTGCAAATTGTGGTTACATTGTGTTGGGATAGTACTAGATAAACGCACTAAAGTGCACAGCAAAAGGTCAGTCACAAATGACTAATACATGTAGTACGAACTTCACGGAAGACGTCAAATAAACAAAATATTCTCCCGCAAAATTTCACAGGTTGTAAAAGCTCTTAACCAATAAATTTGCCACTTGAATTCATACACTAAACACCAAATTGGTTAAGTTGCATCTGCCCCCTATTTCGGGACATCAGTCATTCTTTTTGAGGGGTGACGGGTCTGTCTTAGAGGGGTGCGAAGCCGCTTTGTTCCAGTCACGAGAGAGGTGCTTTGGCACGGTACCGCTGCAGGTGTGCCTGGAGTACGGGAGTGAAATGGGAGGGAAATCAGCCTTACCTCTTATCGCCTCGACACCGGCTAGGAAGCTGCCCCTTATCGGCCCGTCAGCCTCTCATCGACCGCCGTTATGTCGCGCTGAACCTGGCCGCTGGAGAGGTGAATAAAAAGCCAAACAGACAAGGGGTAAACTTTTATTTTAACAGAAGTAACAGCTCAGGGTGACAGCAGCTGAAATTGACTTCACGCTGAAGCCGGCATTTTCATCAAAATGAGTAAAAAGAAGCGCAATGGACGCGACGCTTCAAGTTTTATTTCCCTTGGTGTTCGAATCACCGGACGCCAGGGAGAACTGCGAAGGGTGATTTCGGCTCTAGCGCCCGGCCAACACCCCGCTTGGAAAACAGGTGTTTTTATCGTTCCAGCAGGAACTTTCAGCGTTAAGTTTTATTAGTGTTTCTTTTAAGCGGTGTGAACTTCAACAAGGTATATCTTTTGACTGGTTGTGTGCGCGTGGGGACTGATAGTCGTTGAGCAATTGCAGCAAGTGTCACTGTGATTAACGATCGTTTGATTCGCAGTGAGAAACTAAGACCTGAACTGTTGATACCCGAGCGACCGAAAGTAAACTTCTCGGACGGCGCCCTTGCCTCGCACCCTAAGGGACTGATTTCTCGGAGAAAACATCATAGGTAAATTTCGCTAAATGTGAATGTTGCCAAGTCCACAATTTTTGTGGACAATTATTATTTTATCATAAATGACCAAGACATAGCCCCGTTTGGACTACAAAACTGAAAGGTTTTAAGAGAATGAAGAAGTAAATGCCGTGTTGAAAAATGAACCTACCTTTTTCTTGGCGGAGATCGACAGTTGCAAAGCTTGGGTGAATGAAAGACGGCAATGTGCTGGCAGTCTGGCCGACGGGTCGTGCTTGGCTGATGTACGGAGATTGGTGATGTTGTGCAACGGCCGTAAGGCGCTTCATGGCAAGCCCTGCAGCAGAGTCCATGGGGGAGTTGTAGGGTGCGTACCGGCTCGTGATGCTGTTGTAACACGGTACTCGCACGAACCGCTCGGGGTTTTCCTTGGACAGCGCCGTTTCCGCCAGCGACCAGATCTTGGGTTTCTCGGCCTGCCGGGGCGGCGAGGCCGGCAGCGGTTTCTCGCACGGTGGGGATCTGGAGGTAGGTCGGCAGGTTGCTCGGATCATTGAGGGCGCCAGAGGGGCGGGGCTAGGACTCCTCCGGTGGCAGAGGGGGCTACTACAAAGTTCCCTGGACCGATGAGGATGATGGTTATGATGATGGCTGTTCTCCTCATCGTCCACCGTGATACTCACAGAGTCTCTGTCCGGGTTGGTACCCACAAACCCAGCCGGTACCCTCGGCTCAATACGCGCTAAACCTACATGGCTACTGCTGCTACAGTCTACAGGAAAGTCTCCATCTTTCAATTCTTCTGAAACTTTGTCTGGCGTTTCCTCCAAATCTGATACTAAAAATTTGGAAAAAAATGGGGGAAAAATTAATGAAATCCAAGTACATGTACTAAGAATCCTTATCCAATTCTGTTTTAACATAAGAAAGACATAATTTTCCACTCAACAGTCATAAGGCGAAGTAAAAAAACAAACATGTTTCTCGTCCCCGCCCGCTTCCTTTTTGGAGGCCGCCTGGATTTCTTATTATTTTTTTATTTTTGAAAAATGCAGTAAAAATACACCGAAAAGTCTACAAATTCATCGGAAAATAAATTGTAGACCAAAACAAGTCTAAATGACACTGTAAATATGTTCAGTTCTCTTGTCCAACTTATCTTTCATTTTAAAAGTGTCTTTGAACAGTGGAACACCAACGGTTGCAGGAAATTTTTAAATGGCGGTCATCTTGAAACAAATAAAAAATAAAAAGCCCCGCTTCCTCCTTTTTTCAAAAACCCGGACGAGAAACATGTTTTTTTATTCGGCCTCATGACCGCGGTAAGAAACAAACAAGCAAACAAACAACCCAACCATAACAAAACAACCAAAGCAAAAGGCCGCGCGTTTTCAGTGCTTCGTCTGAGTAACCATGAGTCACTCAAAATTATTGGTAGTCTATAAACAATGTGTCACCACGTTAATTACTTTCACGAAGTGTATAGCGTCATCCCGTTTATGTTGTCATTAAGGTGGCGTTGTTGATATATTGTTGCATTAAAACAGACCATTATTATATCGGAACGAATCAATAGGTCCAGGGCTGCCGGTGTAATGATTTATCGTTTCCCTTTTCGGGTAAATGAAAACTATTGTGTCGTCTCCGCTACTGAAACACACGTTGCGATACCTCACATTGCAACACAAACACCGTCATCTATACCGGTCCATTTTTTAGGTGACTTTTCAAGCCCTATAAACGCAGTCCACTCGAGAAAAATCTCATTCTATTATCGGCACACGCTGGGGAGGGAATAATCCGAGACGATTTTGGTCAGGAAATCCTCACTCGTGATGGCAATAAATATTGACCGTGCCATTGAAAATTGCAGCTACTTGGGCCGAGCTGGCCTCGGGGGTTCACGCGGGCCGCCAGCCACGGCCAAGGAAGCCCAGCCGAGCGGAAGCAAGCCTTCCGCCCGTCGCCCGGATCAGACCCCTACTCAAGTGCGGCTTATTTGACACGCTCTCATGCTAACGAAAAATTTATTTTCGCAAATTCTGCCCAATTGAGACTTTATGGTCATGAGACACAAAAAAACACGGGAGTTTTTTTTTTCAAAACCGGTAAAGTGCACTTTGCGATGCGGTCATACTACAGGCAGGAAGAACAAAATTATCTCTGATGTCCGAGAATATTAATAACTTTCATCATTTATTTGCAGAGATAAAACAAAGCATTGCTGATGCTTGGTACCAGGCGGTTGTTATTATTATAGAAACGTCTAAACATATCATTTTTCTCAACAACAGAAAGGACAAATTTGGGATACCAAAACTATCGAAGTGACGTAATTGAATATACCTTAAAATATTGATGTAATAGTTCGGGTTGAGAGATCCCTGGATATTTTAAACACGAAATTTCTCTGCATGTCTGTGTAAATTATAATACTGTTCCAAATCTGAAGAGGTTGGCGATATAAAGATCTGAAAAGTTTTGTCGGAGGAAACTAGACAACGAATTGAGAGAAAACTAAGGAACTTACATTGGTCATTGTGGCTACTCTCCAGGTCTGATCCAAGACCGTCGTCTCTATCGTCACGATCCTCGCCGTCCCCGGACTCGTAGCCTTCCTTCCGGTCGTCATCATCGACGCCACCGCTGCGGGGCGACCAGGTCATCTTATTGTCCTTCTTGAGGCGTCGGCGGGCGTTGGCGAACCAGGTGGAGACCTGGGTCAGTGTCATCTTGGTGATGATGGCCAGCATGATCTTCTCGCCTTTGGTCGGGTACGGGTTCTTGCGGTGCTCGTACAGCCAGGCCTTCAGCGTGCTGGTCGTCTCGCGGGTGGCGTTCTTGCGCCTGGCGCCGTTCAGATCCATCGCGCCATAACTGCATAATACCACAAAAATGTGTTCGGGTGATAATCACTACTAAGTATGTTTGTTGTTACGGGAATAATAACTGGAATAAAACCTACAAAATTGAGTAAAATTTCCTTCCGACAATGGCATAAATGTGTTATAAAAGGTAAGAAAATCAAGTTGGGTAAACATTAAAAAAAAACACCTCAAAAACCGAACAATCAACTTTGTGAGCTATAGACAATTACAATGTTAACGTGGCCGTACAGACGGCGTCTCCACCACATGAAATCGTTGGATTCGAGACAAGTTCAGATCAATAATAAATTTTCAACAAGTTAACATTACATTTAACATTGTAGTTTTACAATCTTTACATTACATTAAGATTAAATCATGATAAAATGTTCTAACATAATAAAAACGAATCACAACTTACCCATCGCCGTAGTATGGATATTGGGCCGGCAACAGGTCGTACGGATAACACATAGCCCTACCGCTTGCCTGTGAGTAAAATTACAAAGACAAGTTTGAAAATTACAAACATCGTTCACCAAGTTGACAAAACTTCGTGGTAAATTGTACCATAGGAAAAAAAGTTCGATTTTATCTCATTTCTAAAAAATACGTGGGTATGTCGTTCCAGCGTGATTCGACAATCGTTTATACACTTTCATGATTATGAATCTTATATGTCAATATCTAATATTAATAATGTGCAAATTTAGACAGATTTAAGTTTCTAGCAAAGATTTAGCACATGTACATGTGTTGCTCTAATGGTTTCACGAATTTTAGCACCGTCAAAAATGCACTATATTATTTTACATAAAAATGTTGGCACTTTTAGTACACTAGGAATATTGCAGTTTTGTGGCGCTACTTGTTTCATCATAACATAATCAAATACAACAAATTTGGACTGAAAGATCATGTGAAAAAAACCCAGTATTTAATACTGTTTTTTTTTTAATTGGGACCGACTGAGAACTATTTTTGCAATTTCGGCCAGAAAAAAATACAGGTAGAGAAAAACAACGTCTGTCTTTAAACCTGTATACCATAATTGCCAATTCTTATCTTTTTATTTTCCACCAAATTATGAGTGACATAATCGTACCATTGCTTGTGGGTAGAACATCGGCGAATCGGCCCCGTACGGGACCGAGTTTGCCTCGGTAGAGTACATTCCTGCGGGGACTCCGTGATGCGAGGCCGCCATCACGGTTGGGTGAAGCAGCGTGGCTGGGCGACTCTCCGCCGGGGCACAACACACCGATTGCCCGGTACGGGGATCCAGCATCACCGGTCGACCTGTCTCGGGGCACTGCCGTGCGCTCACAGGTGCAGTTGCAGTCAACGGAGAAAGCTGTACCGGACATCAAAAACAGTAGCTGTACGTTTTCTTTGTTGTTGCGTATGTTTTGACAATTTATTATAGAAATTGAGGGGGAAACCTTGCTTGAAGTTTCCACACGCTACCCAGAACAAAACCAATATTTCCGATATTTTGAAGCGGTAGTCGGAACTTGACAAAAAATTTACATACAGGAATCGATGTGCCACGAAACACTGAAACAGATTCGGAAAACACTTGATGTACACACGTGTACTTTCGCATGCTTAAACAAGACCCACAAATACCGCCAAAGCAGGCTTGCAATCATTGCGTCAAATGTTATATTTGGCAAAAGTTAGGACATGTCTAATACATCTGCTCCATTTTACATTGGAGGCAAATCAAAAATGCATATCACATCTATATTCCTACCTTCATGATCTACACAACCAGGTTTTTTGAAGTGCATCAAACCCCACTTCACTTCGACACTAGTCTTTTTTAGCATGGACCTGTGCTCTTGAACTGTTTCGAATCATTGACTGCACTTTCGGTCTGTAAACAATGTAAACACTCACCTGACTGCCAAGTTGGTGTGAAATGCCAACAAACTGCGTCAATGTTGACATAACGATCCTCAGTTTTATTTATAATTTGTAGAATAGACAGAGAGCAGCATCAAAGAAAAGCTCCGGTTTCTTGTTTTATTTCTTGGACTGGACGCAGTAATGGTTGACTGCCAAACTGACCACCGGTAGTTAAAGTCCGTCACGAATATTTAGAGAGACGTCCAGCGCAACCGCTTCGAAGAGTGTAATTGATTGGATTGCTGAGGTATAGTAACCGATTTTCACTACTATCCAGCTTTAATTGGTGTGCACACACCGACACACGGTATGAGGTCAGCTGGCCAGCGCACTCAGCCAATCATTAATGCATGAGGTCGGGAAATGGGCGGGGCCTGTCCGGCAGGGAGCCAATCACAACTCACACGGTCTTCGTGACTGACAAGCTGTACCAGCAAGTTGATGACGCCCCTGCCGATTTATGAATGGATTATCCAACTCATTTTGGCGGTGATTGTCAACTCGATGTCCTAAGTCCTTTCTTTTTGTTCACAAGCGCGCCAGGAGTTGGCTTCAAGACTCGGAATTTCTCTGAAAAGCCTTTGACGACTGCATTTTTCTCACTGCTTAGCCACACAATTAAATAAAGCCCTACAGAAACATGCCTTTGGGTTTTTCACAGCTCGGAACAAATAATGCCCGACTGCATCTTCGCGTTTAGGTCAATCGTGTCTTGTGCACTTTTTATTTCCTAATAATCGCAGCGCGAATGCCACGGGCATTAATGCCTGGCTGGACGGCCGACTGTTGTCTGGAAAGCCCGCCACCAAACGATGGGCTTTAAAACACTGGCACTCGCAGGAGTCGCAGCGATCGGAGTGATGTAGTTTTGCTTTCAGTCCGGAAAAAATGACCCTTTTTACCGAAGAAAAAACATGAATTTGAGTAATAGCAGGTACGGAAACCCAGAGATGTCATAACAAAATGTCATCACGTCAATTTTAACCAAGTCTAAAATGTTGAACCAGTTCTTCATTCTTTTGAATTAGGAATCCTTGTTCAATAGATTTTCTTGTTTTCGTTTGTATGATTTGGGAAGTGAACAAACCAAACCCCACCTCACACCCCTCCCTCAAAAACAGGGGAGGGAATGCTGGAAAAAATGATTTGCACGGACAATAATCCATCTCGAAACAGTTTGAAAAACGGGATTGGGATTTATGTTAATTTCGGAGGTGAAAGTACGTCTGATAATTATTAATTAAAATACATTTTACAGTCATTTGTGTTTTGTTTTCTGACCACAAAAGTTTATCAGGAGGTTCTCCTAGCAAGCGAGTAACTATCTTTTTTTAATGTAAGCGATCTCAGGTCGAATGGTTGTATGACCCTGTGTATATCACCCGAGGAAACTTATCGGTTGTCTTCCCGTAGACATCAGCCCAGCAAAATCCCTATTAAAAAAACATCAATTAATCAAACAAAATATCATATAAATCTCGAGGCGAGATTTGAAATATGGCTTTTTCATTCCCCAGTTCGAGAGCTGCCGCCGCGGTTTGCAGAATTGATGAACCCAAACTCCGAGTTTCGTCCAGAATGCCGCGGAGCCGTCAAGAGGTTCTAGCGAGCGGCGACGGTGGGTTAAAGCCGCGCCGGCCGGTGCGGTGCCGGCTCCTGTCGTGCTATCCACTCGAAAAACAAACCCTTCGTAATAACGGTCTCAATGACCGGTTCGTTTTTCACTTGACAGCTGCGGAGAGCAGTTCAAAACCTCGTTAATCTACCTTGATGAAGTGGATTGGAATACGAGACTGTGTTCAAATACGTCCAGACTAATACTATATCTAATACCCAATTGTTTTCAGCATTTTGTTACTCCTGCGTAAATTAAGTCTGTGGTTTTCAACCGTGGTAATTATTGGTAATTATCCATGTTCCGAGACCCGTCTTAATCCTGCATATTTTTTGTTCATCTTTCTTTTGGGAGATTCAACTCTCCTGTCTTGTCTGTCAGTATGACTGCATGTCCAGGGACGTCTGATTCCACCGTAAACCACAAGATAATTCAACGGGCCGCCAGGCGCTATCGTCCCGTTGTGCTTTTAGCTTTCCACCCGTCAGGCAGTCTCTACGTCTCCGGACTATCTCCGCTCATCATTAGCTCCTTACGTCGCTTGTCTAGTCGTACCATTATATCCCCGCCACCGTCCTGTCTGCATCATATGCACCTATCTCAGCCCAAAACTGAGACAGGTGCTTTTACTCCATAAAGCAGAATGACTAGTTTCTTTCATGTATAATAAGTCGTACTTTCCCAAATAGCAGGCTTTATTCTCTTCCCTGTATACCGAATTTCTGAATCAAACGAAATTTCGAACTCTCAATATCTGATGCTTGTCACTTCAGTATATAAACCACTTTCCTTTGGAAAATATTTAAAGAGTCCGCTGAGATATCAACTCCTGTGAAATGGCATCGACACGCTGTGTCTTTTGTTAATCCCATACAGCAAGGCATTTTTGACCCATAGTGTCTTAAGAATTTTCAAACATACAGAGCGATTCGAGCACTTTTACAACTCGCATATCTCTATACAACGTCCAGTCATCAATTCAACGGTTGGTACCGATTTTTCGGGTTGCCACATTTCAAAATAAAGGAATAGTAGGCCTAAGGTCTTTTGTTTTGTCTTCGATCAAATCAGAGATAACAAGCGTGAGGAAAAACGTAAAAAGAGAGCATCATACATGAAAGAATGGTCTAATAAAAAAAAATAGAAACACATACACGTCATAAACCCTTCGCAGACAACTCGTTGTTTTTTCAAAGAACAAAAAGTAGTTAAATCACTTTTTCATTCGATTCTCAAAGCGAAAGGTTAACTGCACTCCTTTGAAATATTAATAGACTTTCCAAAGAGGATTGTTTATCCTTTGGATTCCCCGGCCAAAATAATGGAGTGGGGGAATTTATGCGATAACTGAAGCGATATTTTCCCCTCAATACAACCGCGGACTTTATATCTAATAGTCACTTACGGACCGAGATTTATGGCGCGAGGGCCGCGCCGTTTCGTTTACCTAGCTCTCAAGGAATGAAAACACTCTACCTACGGCGCAAATTGATTGGAGTTATGAGCGGCGGTCGGTCGGTATAAGGGGTCGGTATAAGGGGTCCGTTATAGCATAGAGCAAGGACCCTTGCTATATGGTTATAGCCGGTGTGTTGGGGAGATTGGAGCTCATAGCTTCAAGTTGGTTCCATATTGCTCGGCGCGGGTAGGGATGGCCACTGCCACGGATATCGAACTGTTTCATGGTACATAAGATCATTTGCTTTCTGTGCACTGTCTGGCTCAAAAACTTAACTAGGGTGCCAAAATAAAACACCTTGTGGCGTTCAGCTCTGTGGATACCACAGGGTAGTATATGGAATAGCAAGGCTTGGTTGTGGAGCTAGCGTGCGGGCTCCGTTGAACAACATGGTTGAGAAAACAGAGAAAAGCTGTGCACAAATTTTGGGTCTCGCAAATGCCAGTTGCTATAGCACTTCATATCCAATTGCTGCTGTTGCATAATCGCCCCTCTCGTTTAGATTCCATTAATTAGCACAACGGACACTATTCTCAATCAGCCAGTTTAGGTACGTGTCGTCGAGGTCACAGTGGATGGGTAATCGCAGTATCTAATCACAGTATTTAACGATTAACGTCCAATGAAAAAAAAACAGTGCTCGCCAACACTTAAAAAACCGACCTTGTTTTCTTCCAAACGACACCATTTCAGGATACATGGCATCAGTCCCATCTTATACTTTGAAACAAGGTTTTTCTCATATAGGTTCATTTCCATGTTCCTACCTGCTTTTAATTTGAAATGCCAGCAGGGGGCATCTTACAGCCGGATGAGGGGCGGGGCAGATTCCACCTCCTTCTACGGTTCCCTCAGTGATTGAGCGCATTCCCCCCTCTACACGGCCGCTGCATGTGGAAAACCAACAGATTCCTCCCGCGTCGAAAATGTCGCATTTTAGCGCGAATACGGTTCAATTTTAAGGAAATTGGTGTTAAAAATTTGCTCTCGAAAACTCGGAAAGTTCCCCCGCCAAAAAAAAAAGAAAAAAAGAAGCGCGGATGTTTCAAAATGTAGGGGGGGGGAGTATTCTGCCCCAACCCTTTCGAAAGGTACATTCGATCATTTGCTTCTTGTTCCACATTTTTTTTCGTTTGAAGCATAGCAGCAAAACTACTCAAAATCTTAAGTATAGGCCTAAGTTTCAGCCCAGTGGATAATATACATATTGAGAAAACAGAGGACATTTTGTTTGCGCAATGTTCCGAGTCGGGTATTACTGGAATCCGATGCTAACGAACGTAAAAGAAGTGTGTCCATACGTGAAGGCACCTTATTTTAAAACCACCTTAAAAGTTACTTTTCTTCCAAACAATACCATTTCAGGCGGAATATAACTTCCCAGGGTATTTGGTACCAGTCACTCTGATCATGGATTTGCTCGTTAAATCGGTAGCCTTTTCCGGGTAATTGCAAAAAGCCTACCGGTGGCTAAATAGTACAACCTGATGGTAAAACGTGGTATGGCCTGTAAGGGCCAAGTCGCACTCGGCAATTTTCCACAAACAAGGAAACCGAATTCACAGCAGGCTGGCGGCGAGAGGGGGGGGGTCACGGGAGCACGTGCCCCTCGTTTAAAATAATTTTATTGAATTGAACACTGCACTGTTAAAATATGCCTCCAGTGTCCCCCTTTGAAAAAAATTGTGCATGCCCAGGTACGTGCCCCCCCCCCCCCGAAGTTTTACCCTTGCTACGCCACTGCTTAAGATGAGACAAAATACCTAGGTTTTTTTTCAGCAGATTTCTCAGTATTAAAGGTTCCTCCTGAAACCAAGATTGTTACTCCACGCATTTTGAGAGACAACCACTCATCCTCATTATTTTATTAGCTCCTTTCAAAAGTTGCTCTTTCTGTAACTTTGGATCGTCCAGTGTGGCACCATTTTAACCATGGCGGAATATGACGAGAGAAAAAAGACCGACACAATTTTTAAACCCGACGAAAATGTCAAACATGCCCGTGCAGTAAAGCTCTTGTTTACGGGCCAACCGGACGCGCCGTCTCACCCTGCCTATTCATCAGTGTGGCCATCTCCCTGTTGTCTCTTGTTTGTCGCCTAGGCTCGGGCAAGATGCGAGGTGACAGTGGTATGCGATTATTGAGCGGATTTGTGCCCGCAACATGTGTCTATCCTTTAGTTGTCCATTGTGGTCCGTCCAAACAAAGCCCAAAACAGATCGATGTGGATTAACACGGAGTCCTGGGTTTGAATCGGGGAAGGTTACACCACACACAAACAGACTGGACTAAGGATTACGACACTTCACCCCATTCGGCACCGCGCACTGGGGCTTAAACCGGCCCCAGATCGGCTACAGACGCCCGTCGGTGGCCGCTGAATTCCCCCGGTGTAACTGCCGTGGCGACGGCTCGCCGCGCCGGCTGGCCGCGTCACAACGACTTCTACCAATCACCCTGACTGCAAACAAACTAAGTTTTGATTGAGAAACGATTTGGGAAAGCTTCGGACGCAAATCATGAATTCTGCTGCATGGGATAAAGTCGGCTTTTTTTAACGACAGGAAACAAACAATAAAGACAGCTATTTGGCGTAGTCGGTGGGATTATGTGGTTTGATATTGCCAACCAGATTAATCCGATTCTCAAATTTAAAAGGGATATAAAAAATTGGCAGAACCTTGGAGGAATAAAAACACGTGGCAGAATATGACTTCCCCGAGGCAAAGTTTCACACTTCCTGTAGCCTAAAAAGAATACCGTACTGCCTTTTTGCGACCTATTTCAGAGTAGAACTGACGAAAAACGGTTTACTTAACAAAGGAGTCCTTCATTAATATTCTTACTAAATCAATACGATCCTCATTCATTCCAAATCAATAATGACGTTTTAATTCTCACTATAAAACTTTCCCCTCATTTCCAATTCTTTCCTGATTTCAACCTAATTCCATTCGCTAAGCCACATGTTGCACCTGCAACACGTATCTAGAGGGCCAACAACAACGCATCACGCTACTCTGACCAATGACGAGTCCCCTTTTCTTCCCCCAACATCCGGCCGTCTCGGCCCCACCAAGCAGTGATCGATAAACGCGGTGGCAGGAAACCATCTCGGTCTTTTCCCCCATTCAAATCCCTCTGACATATCCTCCCGAATTGTAAAGAAGGGTTTTAATTCGGCGAGTAATAAACACGATTAGCCTCCAACTCCTTTTGTCCCCAACCGAATAAAATCAAGATGTTCTGGACAATAAGTTGGGGCTTGTGTGTTTTTTTGTCAATGCGAAACAGGCATCTGTCGCCTTGATAATCTAATCCCCATTATGCTCCAGATTATCTTTTTCCCTACTTCAAAATGATGGCAATTTGTAATGCGCTTTTAAATTGCGTATACATCAAACATACGCCAACGCAGATCCATATAAAGCGCACATGGAGGAGGAGAATTCTTGATCCATTTCCGACTACTCGACACTTCACAACTTTAACGACGCCCGCGTTGCAATTTCGGAAGCGAATAACACGGAACACAAAGTATCGATCCCGCTTTCTGATATTGAATTACAGTGTTGATGGTGTTGCCTACGAGTAATGAAAGGAAGTTTTTAATAAGGGTAACAAAATGTTCACACAAACAAGAATGAATTGATGTATAATAAATGTTTAATCCAAAATAAATATTACTTTACCGTTCTGGAAGAGACTAGTGTGGCTTCCGACAGCGAGTTAAAAACCGAGTAGTATAAGAGGCCCATACCACAATGAAATTCCCGACCAAACACAATCATTGAAATTTGTGAAGAGCTAGCAAATACGTTTGAATTTACATGAAGTTTGACCAAGTTTTGTGGGTTTTTTTTAGTTCGGTGGTGTTGAAACATTTTACGGCAGTCCGCTGCATCACACATTTTCTTTTCAAGTGTCGACAACGCTCATGGCGCGATGTACATGTAACGTGTTCATGTTGTTTCCGTGACGAATTTGTTCACAATATAATTACGCATGCGCCCGAATGTCTTCTAACCATTTTAATTCATGAAAATTCATCGCGAGGGCAATCTTAGCACAACCCGCAGCGGGAGTCAATGCACATTTGTTTCCTAGGACATTCTGTTCGGTTACTGATGATGCTCGTAAGGCAAACCACTACGACACGTGTTTTTCTAATCATGAAAATGTGTTACATTGGCATTTTTTTCAAGAGCGCATTCGCAACATGGTAAACAACTTAACTAGCCACTGTTGTATTTAATAAAGGCATCCCCAGGAATTAATGACGTCAACATATCGGGTTTTTTTTGGGGGGGGGCGATCTGACGGCTTCAAGTTTGTGACCAAATTGTAGTTTGGTACGATTTATCTCCTGTCGGTGTTCTGCTGAAAAATTCTACTAATTTGATTTCGGACTGAGAAAACTGCTTTTCCACCCCTCCCCCAAAAGAAACCCACCCACTCCATTCGGCCCTCCAAAAATATCTGTAGGCCCTACAGAGTTCCCGGCACTTTTATGAAAACAAATTTCCCGGAGTTTTCCCTGATATTTCCCTGAGAAATTTCCAAAATTCAATGAGAAATATTAATTTATTTTTAGCGAGGCTGCGGGGAAGTCAAGAGCGGTTGCAGCAACACAACTAAGATACTTCACACTGTATCAACACTAAAAGCCACCACAGTCAATGCGCACAACTTGGACACATAGCACAAGACGCACATACGCCAAATTGACGGAAACCAAATTTCCTTTCAGGGTCACTGTCAAATTCCCTGAGTTTTCCCAGATTTTTTTTGGTGTTTTCCCGAACTGGAAATATGGAAACTCTCTTTCACGGTTTTCCTCTGATATCCAGATTCGCTGTGAACCGTGTAGGCCCATGTATTACGTGAAGATTGATTTACTGTTGGAATGAGGAATGCCTAATTCTTAAAACATATTTGATACCGTTCATAATGATGAGACCGTTTTGGCACCATGGTTCAATGGAAAGTTAATAACACGTCTATCCTTTTTTATCCTTTGCTGATAAAAAAATCTAAGGCTTGGAACACCTGCAAATGAGCCACTAACGAGGTCATTATTCTAGCTGTTAATTCATAACATATCTTGGCAGGTCGCCTTATGGTTGGATGCGGTTTATACTGTCTCGTATCGCCACATGTAGTGTATATCACTGTATCTTGTGTGTCTCATGGCTAGAGTGTGAAACGTCATGAATACTTGATGTCAATGATAGGGACTCATGGGTTGATAAGGGTAGTCCCCTGAGGAGGTAGGGGAAGGGGTCCTCCCCTGGGGTGGGGCAGAGGTGTTCCTGGCTCCTTGAGCTGTGTTTGAACATCATTACAGGGGCTATATGCGGACCTGTGTTTTTCTTTCATCATTTTTTAGGGGGTAGCTTTTGGGGTTTCCTACAAGGTGCGAACTTGATGTTGTATTGATGGCTTAATGTTTGATCGTTTCCTAGGATTCGTGTGTTTACATGAACGGCTTGCAATATGCTAAAGGGGTTCTCTTTTTTTTCTGAAAGAAATCTTATGTTAGCCCCTTTAAGCTCTAGAGCCTTTGTCGGCCTTTTGTAAGAAAAAAAGTGGATGAAGATATGCCGCTCATGATCAAAATGTAAACATCTGTTTAAATGAAGCAGTCTTGTTCATGAAGTACGATAGGTCATCCAATTCGTAACGCTTTCTTGTGGTTTGCATGGGCGTCCCCAGTTTTTTTTTTCTAGAGGGGGGTAAAGCACATTAATAAAAAAAATCCATGTACTCTCTCTAGCATATTCTCAATTTAGCATTTTTTCGAGGGTTGGCGGGGGGGGGGGGACTTTTGTCCACCCCACCCCATTGACACACCTGCGGACGCCCATATTGTTAAATGTGTAATAAATTAACAGCAATATCACTTCGCACTTCGTCGTCTTCTGTTTTTCCTCCTTCTTCCTCTTCTTTTTATGCTTTTCCGGGGGGGGGGGGGGGGGGGGGGGGGCGCCCCTTGCCCCATCCTGGCAACGCGCATGGTGATGGGAGAGTTTGTGGTAATTTCAAACACATAAAAAGACAGCAGTTTATTAAATGGTCCAGGGATTTCATTTAGGCACTAATAGCCTTGTTCACACACATAAAAACAATATTTTATTCTATTTCCAGTGCAATAATAAACACTTCTGCCAGAGGAACAAATAAACCATAATGTGTTGTGGCAATTTAACATTTAAAATAACTGAAACTCAATAAATAAAAGGATACTCATAGCTTCCAATTGACAAGATGAAATGACCTATCATTCATTATGGCATTTATACAGGGATGTGTGGAGTCAAATATTACATTCACTTCAACTAGTGAAAGTCTGTGGTCCACATCAACCTTGGAATAAAATAAACATTTTGATCACTCCAGTCCACCCCCCACTCGACACACCCCACTCGACACACCCCTCCCCCTCTCCCATTAGGCTCCACCATACCGCTACATATCTTCAATTACTCAACAGGTGGCAGCCTAACTGACTCCATATTAAAATAAAATACCGTACCAATAATGCAAGAATACCGAAACGTGAAAACAACAAAAAACAAGAGGTTTAGGGTCGGTCTGTTTTTCAATCAACTGTTTACCTAACCACGCTGCAAGCTAAACAGTTTGTGGATGTTTGTGCAGTGTTATGAGCACTACCACTCCCAAAATAATTAATTATTCAAGAAGGTAGAACTGGTGTTTGCTCCATTATTCATCAGCTCGCTAATCGCTTCCAATGTCTCTTTGTTTCCCCCTCCTACGGAATCCGTCTCCGAGAATCTGGGAGCACGTTACCAAGCTAAGCCTGTTAATCGCTGTCAGTCCTTTTAAGGGATTCTAAAATGCATCGAGACTGTCGGTCTGCAATTTTAATGATCAGACCGAGTCTGATCTTTCAAGACTGAGTTTGGCTGAACCATCCTCTACTTCTTGCTGTTTTTTTCTCTCTTTTTTTTTCTAGGAGAGCAGATCAATACCTCTGTGGGTGACTAGCTCCCGCAAGAAAGGATGATTGTGGCGTGTAATTGTGTTGGCTCCCATCAGAGGACCATCAGTCAGGCTCTTATCTCACCCTAGCATCCGGTCTCTTTTACCTCCCCTGTCTTTCTCATTGTTGGCTGCTATTGTCAACTGCGTCGGCTCCTCACACAAGCAGTTCAAGTGTAGCCAGTGGGACTGGTGTGGGAGCTGATGGATGGCAGGGAAACAAGACAGGAATTAAGGAGGAGAAGAGGCTGGGGGCAGCACACCTGATAGTCCTAGCTATGGCTTCCCTACTGTCAGTCACCATTTAGGGGGCTATTATAATGGGCTTGTGGTTTTGTTAATCCTGGGCTAATCTGTGGCATGATAGGACCAACAGAAGCCACAGGTGTTTGCAAGGGGTGTTGACTCAGACACCTGGTCACAATGAACCATTGTTGTTTAATGAGCCTAGCCCATTGTTTCTTGTCACAATATTGGTTTACCTCAGCAGTTTCAGAAGGTGATGGATATGTCAGTAATGAAGTTGGCTTATTAAAGTGTTAATCTGTTTTACTTTTACCAGAGCCACAGCTGATGTGGGGACTCCCTGCAGGGTGTTGCCAGTCTTTCGACCCGTTGCCAGTCTTTCGACCCCCTGCCAGTATCGGAGTCTATTCCATGGCTCTCTGCTAGGCTACAGGCAAAGTTTCTGCACTGTTGGTGAGAGTTTTTCACAGATTAGCAAGGAATTTGGCCTATTCAAATCAAACACGTACATCCTGTGACTTAGAATTCTGGGCTTGCAAGATTAGCGACAAATTGATTTGCTACAGTGCTATAAGTTCAGAATCTTGATCATAAGATTTCTGTGGTTAGCAAAGCCATAAAATATAGAGCCTAGGCCTAATCTTCAATTCTCCTTTACAAGTTATCTAATACAAAAATCAACTAAGATTTACAATGTCTGGCGGAAGACACCTCGTTACTTTGATGGCACACTAGGGTGGAATTTGAGACATCGGAAGGACATGGGTTAACTCCTCCCCTAAATTGGGTAAAATCCAGTAACATCCGCAACAAACCGAAACTTGTCGGCCTGTGTAAAACATCTTGTTTTGTTGTTATCGCACTCCAAAGAAGCAGTCGTAAATGTCATTTCCAAAGTGAGAAAAAACAAGGGGAGATGCCGACTGGCAAATGCAGTGATGCAAACTTCACAGGGGGATTATTTCCCCCCCTTAAAAACTGTCGGGATAATCAAGATGTATGACCGTCACACGGTCAAGCGGAAACCAGTAACTATGCCATGCAAAGACTTGTGGGACATTATATGTAGTTGGGGAACAGAATGGTGCTGTGGTTCAGCTTATCATTGTGAGCCAGTGACTGCTGACAGGGGTGAACATAAAATATGACCATGGCTGATGCCACAACTCAGACATATTTGAAGGAAACAGAAGTGGGGTCAGTCTGTGGCAGGCAAAATCCCGCAGGCCTCCCAATCTTGACTGTTTTTCTTGAATGATATTTTCCACAATGCTTTAAACAGTTAGGAAAACTCCCTCCAAACTCCTAAAAAGTAATTCTGAAAGCAGAATATTCAAGTACGGTACCTTTCAAAGAAATATATATGGAACTTTTCCAAGAAGTAATTTTATTCCTGACAATTTTGGCCAAGGACCAGAGTTGAAAACACTCCAAATCCTTTGCAAGAAGGTTACATGTACTTATATCAGTTTTTGTGTCTTTTTAAAGAATTGTTTCCCCCCCCCCCCTTTTTTTTTAGAACAAAGTTTTCTTGTGGTCCATGTTGTATTTTCACATAAGTTTGGACAACTAAGAGTTTCGAAACGTAATTAATTTAAAGTTTTAGTTGCGAATAGTTTGATCAAATCAGCAGTCCACAATTTCAACAAATCAGGATGGTAGCTTGTGGTATTCAGTCTCTTCAAACAGTTTCCAGAATGAAAAGGGAACACAGAATGAAACGAAGACTGAAACAAAGACTGAAGCTGCCCCTTTCTTAGTCTTGGTCCAAAACTGAATTTGAATTTTCCCCCTAATACAGCTAATTCCCTGACAAGTGCAGTAAAGCCATGTGCACTAGACTGAATACAGTGCATGCAAAGTATGCCCGGAATTTTCTGGGTAGCACTGCCGAAGTTCCTAAGGTTGGCTTTGATTTATCTTTTTCATGCCTTGCTCTACTGCTGCGATGCTTTACTGCACTTGTCAGGGATCGGCTGTAGTAAGGGGAGTAAATCCGAACCTCTGGTGACAAGATGAACTCTTTGAAATTTAAGAGACAATCATATTTTAGGATTCATTGTATGGCTTTATAGACGGATTGCACTCAGCTGCCATCTTTGAGGTGTGGGTTTTGTTAATTCATGAACATGAATACACAAGAGGTCTACTCATGTGTACCCCTGTTGAACAAAAGCACACACCTCAAACATGACTGCAGTGCAAATGATCTGAACGGGTGAATATTTGGTGATAGAATGTGGTGTCCAAATAAATGTGTCAAGAAGCCCTACACACATAGGTCAAAAGGGATGGTAATTCAAAACCAGCCTACTTGATTAAAAAATTGAGTAGCAACAGAGAGAGAGAGATCTAAACATGGGGCCCAGCGCGTCACTGGCTGGTCAGGTTCCCCCCAATGGCAGTAATAGCCCCTCACCGCTGCAAATTGTGTCGGCAAACAAGGGATGTGTCTGGAATTAATGATTAAACAATGCTTAAATGAGTCATTGAATAAATGATTGGGGCCGATCAATCATTCAGAAGTCGTGCGGCTTATGGACTCTCTCTCACTCTCTATCTGCCGGTCTGGTATACCCCGTTGGGAGATGTGTTACAGTCAGAGCTGACGTGCCAGGCTTGGGCTGAAAGGGAAACTCACACTGTATTACACCGTGTTATCGTGTAGACTAGCTCACCGAGGTGAAGCCCCCGCGTAATCTGAAACTGGATCTTTCCTGCGTTGTGTACCGTAGCCAGCCAGAGAAGAATGGGAGGTTTCCAAAAACACTGGGATGGCAACGTGACTTCCAACTTAGACGGCATCGCTTTCAGAGAATGTTGCGGTGAGCTTCCGTGGAAATCACAGGTTTGGGGACTCTGTAATAAGGGAAAACAAGACAAGTTTGAGCACAGAGTTTCGGAAAATGACAACTGCAGGCCTACAGGGCAAGAAAATATCTGTGTAAGCTGCACTTCTTTTATGCCACCACTGCTTTGACAATGAGCAAGGCCTGTATCTTTTAGACGACATATTTAAACATTGGAAACCCTTCAAAAGACAGGGAGTACATGTTTTCATTTTTATTTTATATAACATTTTGTTTTTATTTTAACCCATTAGCTCTTGTACTGTATTGTTCTACAGAGTATCATCTTGCAAATGTTCAATGTGACCTCACTCCTTTTAAATAAACTATTTGCTGAAAAGCTTAAAAAATAAAAACTATAGATTTTGGGAAGCCTTCATCAAATAACGCAGTCAATATTATATGAACAGCCAGCCAGGATGTAAGACAAGACAGAACCGAGCCGCAATCTGGTGCGAGTCTATAATGCTCCAATAATTGTGCACAGAACCTCAAAGACTCAATTGCTGGCCGAGGCGGATATATAGGAACCATGATAGGCCGACGGTGCAACTCACTCACAGCGTCATTGGATCATTCCGACTGAGTAAACTTCCTCAACGAGTCCGAGAAGAAGGAAAAAATCCAAACCTGAAACCCCAAAGCCCTGAGCAATCAGAAGCAGCCAAGCTGACCAGGACGATTCTTTCCACTCTACTAGAGTCTGGATCGCAATCCCTGATTGGCCCAATGGCGCTAATAATGCCATCTCCAGTGTCTAATGAGCCAGTCAGAGGCGACGTGGCATAGCCAGGGATATCTGAATGTAACAGTAGGCAGGAAATGAGGTTGGGGGGGGGGGTGTTTACATGGAGGAAAAGGCCAAAGCTTATCGCTTCACAAACACAGATCAATACGATCAATCTCGCTGGGTGACAAGTGTCCGCACCCTTGTCAGGTACTTGTCGATTCTGTTCTACATATCTGACATGATTTTTTCACTGCAACAAACAGGGTTCCATATTGTGTCCATAGCATGATCCACATTTCTGCTTTGCAGGGTCGTTTTTTTTTAAGCGTTAAATTGTCTAAGGAAACTGCAGCCACTTCCCATAGACCCGTGTGTTTTAACCAGTGCATGTTGTAGGTCTCGAGACCGGTCTCGTAGACCGAGACCGGTCTCGAGACCAGTTTTTTGTGGCCTCGGCGGTCTCGGATATTTGAGGTCTCAATATTTTTCCTGGTCTCGGGTCAAGACCTCGAAAATATAATGCAAAACGAAAAAAGAATCGATACAATGCACCAAATATTTTGCATCGCTTCATGCACGCATGGAGTCGTTGCTGTGTGGTTAACATTTGTAAAGATATCGATGGGTAGTTCATATTTTCAACCTCGTTTTTTCGTATGTGCAAAAATTGTGCATAGCATATCACGATTCAGTGTAACAAAACCTTGGAGCGAGTGTATCGTGAACCTCATCGCACGTACTACTCGTTTTCGAGTGAACGCAACGGCACGCGATGCACATGGAAACGCTTTCTTTACGTGTGTGGTCGATGTCTGTCACGTTTTCATCTGCTTGTTGCACTTTTTATTGAGATCTAGTGAGCATATTCAAGTTTTTGGAGATGTCAAGCGATTCTGCTGTCATCAGAGTTGGTTTTTAGAGACCACAAGGATGCTTGAGTGTTATTAAATTAATTCATATTGGTTTTTTGTTTACTTATTTTTTGTTTTTTGCTTGTTCAGTCTGTACCAACTGAACTATCCAGTCCTATTAGACCAGGAGCCCAGAACATTTATTCATGCGAAAAGCACCAAAGCAGTCGATCTCATAGGGTGAAAGGGTATCATGGGGACATCACAAAAATGCATTGCTGCCGGATCTAGGGCATAGCCTAAGGTTCTCCATTTTGTCAATGTCTTAGTTCAAGGGGTGCTAGAAACCATAAACCCTTCAAGTTAAATTTCCTCATAGGATTCCAAGTCTGCTAGCTCCTCACTGATCAAGTCTCTGACTTTAATGGATAAAAGAAAAGAAAATGAATTTCCTGAAAGGTCACTAACACCACTAATGAAACTCAACGTCAAGGCACGTACATCACACTTGATAATGCTGCACTACTCAGCCTAATTATCACAAAATTTATGACCGTCCATTACTGAATGCACCGTCGCTTCCTTCGTCTTGCCGATGTTCTCATTCTGCGTAATCCTTGCTAATCTGTTTACAGCGCTCATCAAACACTGACAAAACAGCCATTAGAGGAGTGATTAGTCTGCTAGATATCACTCCTCTGCGTTTTCATTTCTTTTTTCATTTCATTTTCCAACGGATAAAAAAATCCTGCAGCGCTGCGCTGGAACTTCCGGCGAATCTGAAGAATTAGTCGATTCGTCGTTCATCATCATGAACAACGAAAAAACTCACTTCCTTCTGCTATTAATCTAGGCTTCTTGAGGATGTTGGAGGGCGGTAATGGCTGCTGAGACAATCTCCTTCATTAAACTAGAAGTGGGCAATTAAGACTTGATTAATGGACAGATTGGGTGGAGTGCTTGGACATGATCCAACTTGTAATGAACGGCCCGGTACATGGATCGGAGGATGTATGGTGTTAAGTGGACAAGTCATCTCCCCAACCCTGTCTCTCCGTTTCTGTGAGGTGACAGAATGCAAATTTGTCCTGACATTTCATACATGGTTTGGTACATGCTCTGTTCTTTGAGGCACTTCATGCTGTCTTGTAGAACTTTAATTACATTGTTGGGTTTGATGCATGGATGGTGGTGTAGAACATCTGATGAAACAATCTTCATCATGCAGCGGATAGGTGTCTCATGATGGAAGAAGAGTTGGAAAGCCGGGCCCGTCGCCAGCCCTGAGAGTCAGGGGGGCCATAGTACAAACTAGGGGGCCCACTACCGTAAAAATACAAAAATACACATGTACGGCTTTTGCCGGTGGGGGGGGGGGGGGGGGGGGCCAATTGCTCGCCAAGGGTGGCCCGGCCCCACCAGGCCCCCCCCCCCCCTTGACGACAGGCCTGTGGAAAGCACACTCAACCACGCACAATACCTTTATTTTCTGTTTACATTTTCTTTTCCAATTTTTGACGGGGCTCTAAAATGTTGGTAAATAGCCTTAAAAATTTGTTAGCACCTCACATTACAAACACAAAAAAGATTATTTATTCAGTTAGAGGATGATCATTTTAGAAACTTTTGCAATTTTGCCAGAAATACATAAACAGCACATCTTGAAACTCTGGAGAATAGATCGGTAGCAAGCAGGATTTTGTCATTGTATAGCAACACCGGTTCACGCTGCCATAATCGCTAATTGTTTCAACAGGAAGAAATCAAATCACTGGCTCCCTCAATTTTTCAACGGATTAATACATACGCCAGCCAGCCCTGGGGCTATGGGGCTCAGTAATCCAGTTCTTGTGTAACCACAGACGGGACTGAAGGATGAAAACAAAGCTAGGAGGATTGGCTAGAAGTGGGATATGATTGCTGGAGGGTGTTTGGGGAGGGTGATAGTATGTAACTCGGGAAGGGCGATAGGATTTGAGCTTTTGAGCTCCGTGAAGGCCTTTGTTATTGGAGGCTTGGGATCATGGTTGGTGGGGTGGTGTTCCTCTGACAACTATCCTGTCCCAACCGGGTTGTGATCAGGAATGGAGATAAACCCCCCTACTGCTTATCAAATGAGGTTCCAGTCTGTTTCTCATGAGTATGTTCTACCAGGCTGCCGTACGGCCAACCGAAAAGCCCCGGGCACTCTACTATTGCCAACCTTCGCTTGCAGTGCACACTTTTGGTGGCAGCGGGGACTTGAGAAAAATGGGAGCTTGAACTGATTTTGATGAATTAGGAAAATTTCATTAGTCTGTGGTTAGCGCCAGACCGTTGATGATGGTGATGATGATGATGATGAACTCAAAGTAGAGCACACTTGTATGATGACATTGTTGTTGACAGTGGCTGTTCTTTTTGTTTGGTCGGGTGTGCTGGATTTTGATGAATACGGCTTGATCTTACATTAATAGAACAATACAAGCAAGTGAATTGGAAACACCAATATTGCTAGGTGTTCGTGAAAAGACAAACCCTCAGGCATCTTAGGATAGTGGTTATGTTTTGCATCAAAAAAAGACTCGATAATCACAGACTGTTCAAATGTTGGGGGGGGGGGGGTTCCTACCAAACCCTGGAGCTATGGTAACGCCTTGATTGAAATGAGGTGCAAGGCAATAGGCTGCAATATGAAGCTCTTGAAACACACACACAAACAAACAAGAAACAGCTTGGCGACAAAGGCTTCAAGAATCTGTTGAGAGAAACCTGATGAAAAACTGTTCATTTTCAAAACAAACTAAGATGATCTTAGATGAAATCCAAATTTCAGGAATCTAAAAATGTTTTGTTTCCGAATACAAAACTGTAAGGATAGGCAACCTACATCATGTTGACGTGATGCACAATGTGGACATTTTGTGCGAAACGTTTTATACAACAAGCTTACTTTGTCAAGACTAAAATCAATGACTTCCAACTATTAAGGCCGATTAATGTGCTTTGCGTGAATGAGAATGTAATACAAATTTGACATCGGGAAACATTGGCTTTATGAAACTCACCGGAGTTGAAATGTGTTGCAAATTCGCAGGTATGACGTTACAAATTTGAGTTTGCGTTTGCTTCCGCGCCAAGTACGGACCAGCTTATGCTCATGACGCGTATATAAGCAGTAACTTTGACAAAACGGATCCAGGAATTAAGCAGCAAAGGTTAACTCACAGCTTCTAAACGTCTTGTACAAGACTACGTGCTTGTAGGAAACATGCGCAAGTGAAATGAAACAGTTCAACCCGCATGTGTTTCCAGCTATTTCTGGTGACCCATTTGAAACAATAATCAATGCGATTCATGGGATCTGAATGTACTGTTTGACAAAAGTAGGTGCAAGCCAGTAGCGCAGTCAAAACACTGCAGGTGCAACAAAGAAGTAGCAATGTCAGA